CTCAGAGTGCAATATTCACTCTGGTTTGTAATAAAAAAAAAAATGGTGGTTGCAGCTTCACTTCAAACATGAACGTGCATTAAACATTTTGATCCATGAGTCACATTTGTAGTCGATTTCAAAGCACTCTGCACACTTTGAACCGTGTAGTTACACATTCAAGTTTACAATGCAGGGATGAGGATTTCTTCTGCACACCCACACATTTTTACACCAGCAAATGTGTTATATTATTGCAAACATTAAACACGCCATGCTCACATTTTCAGAAGTAAAACTGTGAGTGTCTGAAGATATCTTCCACTTCTAATGACGGCAAATAAACCAATGTGACTGGTGTTATTTGTGCAGGTTTTGGAGTTAAGGGTCTTTCCTCTTAACAAGCTGCATTGTAATTTGTGGGACAATGCTGCATGATGGTACTATCAATCTCCAGCAGCTTTCCAAGAAAATGTGAGAGGTTACTCTCCTGGGAAATTAGCTTCTCTTTCCCCTCATAATTGTCAGACACAGCCTGAAATGATTCCTATAATGTAAGCACACTTCACCTCAGCTTTCCAGTTTGAAAATCTTTGTCTTTTTAATGTCTTCTTATTGATTTCAGCTATCATCCAGTACTTTTTTTTTCTCAAGAGACTAATACTAATGTTGGATAAAAGTGCTGTTTTGCGGTCCTATCCAATGGCTGATAGATCACATTTGCCTCCCACTTGCTCAGATGATGGCCACAGTAATGTGCTGGCTACCATAGTCGGAGTTTTTTATTTTGCCCACGGCATCTTCATGTTTTATCAGTCAGTGCTGTGAAGTGCTGGGGATGCAGAGCCTGGGATGTATGCAGCTATATCCTTCAGTGTAGAGTTTGTAGTGCATGGTAGTAAAGGGAATGCTACAGTTTGAATAAACGTGAATGTGACAAGTGCTATGGGCCAGAGTTACTCGCTTTGTGAATGTAATATAAGAGCACTTGGTTAAAACTTTGAATTTGTTTGAAATCCGGTGCGTAAGTTACCTTATTGCGCGCAACTGCAGTACTATCAACCATGTTTGCCACAGCCTTTGCATTTCATCTAAAAAAATGCTTCAAACTAAAAACATACATCACTTTTATAAATGCTGTTCATATATATTTATATATAGGCTTATGTCAGCATAGGCCTATATTTATTCACAACAAGTGTTATCTAAGGATGCTTAACGAAAAAAAGCTGCTAGACCAGACTCCAATGACAAAGACCCGATGTGAAGATGGGATAAGACTGAGCCCCATCTTACAAGATAGGGTTTGAACAAACTCTTATAACATGGTATAAGTAGTTTCATGTCACGGCAACGGTATATATCACACAATGACAGTCACACAACACTCTTTGCATAGTACTGTTTTTGATTGTTGTTGGATTTTCTAAATCCGAAGAATCTCCAGACAACCGATGTCGCGCCCGTTTTCGGAATGAGTCCCTCCTCCTCTTCCTCATGTTGGGTGGGTCAGGCTGCCTCCGTTTGCTCGGTACTGCCACTAATCTGTGCGTCCGCCATGATAACCACCACCAGTGAAGCTGTTTTTTCTTCATCGAAACTATGCCAAGCAGTCTGCTGGACACGCTGGTGATAATAGGGAGCGCACCCAAACCTGACCAACCAAACCGAGCTAACAAATATATATGGAAACACACTCAAATGGATGCACTCCGACTGTCCTGTTAGCGAGCGCAGACAACTACACACTGACTCAGAGAGACGCAGCAGACATCTGTTCTCTCTCTTCAGTATTAATGGTATAGCAAAATTTCTACCGGCAGACACTTTCACACCGTCACATGGTATATACCATCATACCGCCCGGCTCTACTGCAAGATCAGACCCATTCCCATCCCATCTTCAACCACATGAGAGCAACATTTATCAGCATTTAGCAAGTTACAGTGGTGAGCAAAAACGGGCTTTTAACAGGCAGAAACTCTGAGCAGAACCAGACTGATGCAGGTGGTTGAAGCAACTACCTACATCAGTCTTAACTCATTTGTAGTTGTTTGCCCTACACTCCTCTGTAGCTGTTGTTATTATACTCTTGAATTTATACCACGGCTCCTCATCAGAATCAACCGCCTCAGTGATTTCTTTAATAATGTGTCTGCTTTACTCTCTAACAACATCTTCCTGTTGTCCAGTCTGAAGTCCAGCCAGTGCACTTTTCACCCCTCCTGCAGCTCATTTTGAAGGCGCAGTAATAAAAGCCCAAAGCTAATTAAAAGAGCTTATGATATTTCCGCTGAGTTCCCTGCAGTGCAGCTGGTGCAGCTGTATCCAAATACTATTGATTGTGGCTGCTTGTGTTTGTGTCTTATTTTTACTGCACAACAACAACAACAGCCCCTCGGGCGTTAAGGGCTGCGATGTGTCATAAAGATGAAGGCTCGGCTTGACATTATGAGGATTTGGTGTGTGTGTGTATGTGTGTGTGTGTGTGTTTGTGTGTGTGTGTGTGTGTGTGTGTGTGCCTAAGCTTGAGGGTTTAATTTCTCTTCAGAGTGACTCACTTCCCTCTTTTGACTTTAAGTCATATGTTGTTAGATTTTAGATTTACTTTTTTATGTTTTATTTATTTTTTAAATTTTATGATATTTTCAAAATAAGAGCAAACAGTCATCTTTAATTACACATACAAAAATCTGAAATTTACGGAGTCACTGGAACAAGCATGGCTGCAGTAGTCACGTCTTTAAGGGTTCCCATCATCTGCACTTGACATGCGTTGGGGAAAAAAGGAGAAAAAAAGGAGGAGGAGGAGGAGGAGTTAGTGAAGGGCATAGGAAGATGAGATGGAGCTATAGGTAGAGCTGTGATGCTCTTCACAACATCATGCTAATGAGGAGGGTTATTATGTCCCCCCCTCAGGCGCTGGAGACAGACAGAGTGGGTGTGGGCACAAGTGTTACACTTCTGATGGTGTGATTTGTGCGTTAAGCTGTTTGCCTGCATGATAATCACAGAGTTATTTGACCTTTTCAAAAACAAATCCACTGTTTTTGTGATTGTACTTTGTTAAATTCTCATTTTTTATTAATGAAATGGATTTCTCTTCTGGCTGCTGAGTCTTACAAACATAAGAAGGTGTGCAGGTGAGGTTTAGAGGTTTTAATGTGCATGGAAAGGTCAGAGGGAATTATGCTATAGAAATATGCACAAACTTACCATCGTTGTGCTCTTGATTTTCTCCCCTCTCTATGCACTCCCACTCTCCCACCCCCTCTCTCCATCCTCTCCTATCTCCTTCTTTACCCCTCCTCCCTTAGCTCAGCAGCAGCCAGTGGTATGCTCCACTTCTCTTTGCTCCTCTCTCTCTCTCTCTCTCTCCTTCTCTCTCTCTCTCTCTCTCTCCACTGTCAGCCTCAGCAGCCTCCACACACAACCGGAGCGAGATACACTGGTGCAGCGCCGATCTATCCATCCATCCATACATGCATGTGTGTGTTCCCCGTGTGCCGGGTTTTTTTTTCTTCAGTAACGCTCAGCAATCAAGTGTCCAGGTTGAACTGCATGAGAATGTGCCTGTGAGCATCTCTGCAGCCTCATTTGTATGGAGGAGCATGTGTGCACAGTGAGAGACAGCGTGAGGATGTGTGGTGGGCAGGTGTTGTTGTGATCGGCGGAGTTTTCGGTGTGCTATCGTCGTGCTGCTGCCTCCTCACCTCCCTCCCATTTGGTTATCTTGTGAGGGGTAAATAAGCATCCTGCTGGGATGTCCACCTCGCCTGGTGCCACGGACGGGAGCCAGAGGAACTCTTGTGAGTGACTTTTTATGTCTTCTTTTGGGAGTGGTGATTCGTGTGTGAATCTGCGTTTGGCATTGATTATTATTTTTTGCAAACCAGCTTTCTACTGTATATCCTATCGTTGTTCCAGACAGTCTTTGTTTTGAAAGGCTGGAGATGTCACAAAAATGCATTTCTCATCGTGAATTAATGCAGAAATGTAAAGTGTGTTGTGTGTGTGTGTGTGTGTGTGCAGCAAAAAGAAGGTAGTGGGAGGGAGTGTGAAGAGTGGATCGTGTTATACTGTAACAGATGATGATAGTAAAACTAAAGAGGATTATGCATGCTAGTTTGTGCGTACTTGTTAACTTGATGGAGAGATAGTTTAAGGAGGTGTGTGTGTGTGATGTGGGAGTGTGTGAGAACATGTGTGAGTGTGTTTACATATTCCCTGGAGCGCCTCCAGCTGTCCAAGTATTGGAAAGGTGCTGTGCATCGATTGACAACAGAGCCAGCTGCATCTTTTCAGGAAGAGGAAAAGAGCAGATGACTGCTGATGTCATTCACTACTACACTGATGAATATTTTATTTTCATCCTTGAAATCTGTTGCAGAGAATTAATTCCTTCGTTTAACTGTCTCCTTTTTCTCTGTCTGTAATTCACTACAGACATAGAAATTCTTGGACTCACTTTCAGGATGATATTTACTGCCTGACCTTGCATATAACTCACCAGGAAACCATATTCATAGAGACATAGAAATACTCTATCTATATCTTTTAACTCTATACTGGCTGCCTCTTGTAAATGTGGTCTTTCAGCTGTAGGTGGACGCAGAGATGATGTGTGTAACGCTGCACTGTTATAGAGTATAAGTTACCTTGTGGGTGAAAGTGTGTGGGATCGCCGCGCAGTTTTAACGTCCAAGCAACACACATTTGCACGTATCCAAACAAAGTCCCAGAACTGAAGGACTGCTGTACTGTAAGTGGGTGATTGATTAAACAATGTGACTCATTTTGACTCATCTCCCTCTCACACAAACACACAAACACACACACAATGTGACACACAGACGTACACATTGACTCCAGCAGAGATCACATCTGGGAAACTGGGTCTCCTTTTATTGCTTTCATTATTATTACCCCACCCCCTCCTCTTTCCTTCCCTCCTCACTTTCACTCCCCGTCTTGTTATTTTCAGGATGTTATTTACTACCTGACCTTGCATATAACTCGCCCCGTAACCATTTTTGTGCATCTGTTTTGATGTTTTAATGATTGCACGCTGACACACCCACCCACACTAGACACCTATTATGTCTTTATGACTGTTAGCCCTTTCTTTTTAATAATGGCATCATTGTATATTTGATTATTTGGCTGACTCATATGTTGTTTTATTGTTGTGTAACTTTCATTACACTCGCTCATGTTCGGCTCTCCACTGCTTCGCTTCCTACTTGACTTGTTTGCTCCTTGTCGAGGCGCATCCATCACATTACCTTCTTATGGAGCAGTGCTTTCAAAAACTGAAATACCAAGTGGCCGCGGGCTACGATTACTGATTTACTAACTGTAACGTTACGTAACCAAGAGCAGCATCTGGAGGAATAAGTCTGTTGTCTCGACGAAAAAACAGCTTTAACAACAGAAAAGCGGAGATCTGAGGAGTTGAGGATTAGTAACATCGCAATAAATTTCCATTTCGCTTATTGTAAAATGTCTTGATTTAAATTTAGAACTAATACGCCTTAAAGTACAAGATTAGCTTAAGTAATGTATCATAAAAACTAATTGAAACATCAAGTAAAACCTTTAGATAAGACTCGTTGCATAATGCTGCGCCCATTGATGAAAAAAGAGCCAAAACTATTTATAGGCTTGTGTTTAAATCCCTTTATTTCCAAGGCGGTAATATTTTTAGATAAGACATTCAGTGGAGTTTTTTAATCTGTGCTCCAGCAGCCTGACTCAGTGCTGTATTATCAGAGTGTAATGCTGCTGCAGAGCTCTTTCTCCCTGTTAGTGTGTGTCCTCTGTAAAGGAGCAACAGCAGGCACCTGCCACAGAGATGGATGTGCTGTGTCATCACTTCTACTGCCAAATGATGGCTTGCCTCACCTCTCCTCTCTTCTCTCCTACTCCCCTCTTTCTTCCCTCTTTCTCTGTCCTCACCTTTCTTTTTTTTTTTTGGCCCCTGGTCGCTCCACACATCTGCTTTCTTCTCCACTGGTGTCTCATCTGTTTCTTAATCTCCTCTCCATGGTTCCCCTCAGCCCTCCTCCTCCTCCTCCTCCTCCTTGTCCTTCTCCTCTCTCCCCTCTTCTCCGGTCTGGTTTATCTGGGTTCACATGAAACTTTAATTGCATGTAAATCAAAGCGCTGCAGATGTGATTAGTCTTTTGTGCTGCTTTAATGAGTGGGGTCTGGACTATTGAAATATGTTACAGTAGCTGGCTCCTGCGCTGTCCCTGATGGCTTAAGGCACAGGCACACTCCTCCACTTCTACTGCTGTCTGAAGAAACACATTTTTTCAAGAGCATTAAAGTTTTCAGGGATAAAACGAGAAATAATACTGCTGAAGGGATTGTAGAAAATTTAAATTTGCCCAGTTTTGAAGGTTTATTGGTGTTGGCAGTTTTCTTGTTTTTAAAAAAGAAGCACTTTTCAGAGAGCAGTTTTAGAAACACTTCATATGGACACTCCTCTTATAATGCATCATAAAAACTTCACACTTCTATGAAGCCCATTTCTATACTGTATTATAACAAATCATGAATATACGTATAATGCGCTCATAGGGCTGTATAATTATAGATAAAAGCGCTCATGGATATGTCTAGTGCTTAATACAATTGTCAGAAAGGTATAAGCAATTATAGATATTTATTGAGTTGTTAACAGTTATAACAGATTATAATACCTGACCTTGTAAGTCATGATACAATGCTTTATAATGTGTTATGATTATTGCTATAAAGCGTTACGATCATTTATGAGTGTTTATAACTATAGTTATACAGTGCTGTAATGTGATTTTAACACATAATACATATATTTATAATGCATTATAGAGAGGCATCAAGTAAAGTGTTACCAATAATTACTATTAATTTATTACATAATGACTTATAAGGCTGGGTGTCAATACAACACATTATAAACACTGTTCTGATGCATTATAAGTTGTCATTGAAGGCTTTGAGTAAAGTAGAGAAATCTCTGTGTATTACCAAAAGTTAGTTATTATAAGCTAGTTATAAATGTATACATGCATCCATAAGGCTGAATAACATTCCTTATGAGTGATAATAAACATCAAAAACAGCTTACAGCAATGTTTATGATGTGTTAAAAGCTGCCCATAGCACTTATTAAACATTGCTATTATCTGTTATAAATGTGCTTGTGACGCATTATAAGAGGTTGGTTCATGTAAAGTGTGATCGCTGTTTTCAACAGGTTTTAGAAATCCTCATTACACCAGTATGAGTATGTACGATAACACTGTAATTGATGCCTATCTCTATTAGCATTATAAGTATATGTATAATGCATCATAATCACGTTAAAGCATTGCATAGCTGTAGTTATAAACACTTATAAACACTTAAAAATGATCATAATGCTTTATAGCAATAATCATAACACATTATAAAGCAGTTTATCATGATATACAAGGTCAGGTATTATAATGTGTTATAACTGTTATGCTATATGCTAGCATTATGATCATTTATGAGTGTTAATCACTAGTTATACAGTGCTATAACATGATTGTAACACATTATACATATATTTATAATGCATTATAGAGGGAGGCGTCAAGTAAAGTGTTACCATATGTACTGTAAATCCACACCTTATGTGTCCATAAAAAATGTAGTCATTGTTCCACTGTCTGTCTTCCAATCCTTATCCTTGTGGAAGTTATTTTATTGCATAAATTGACCTCATTATATGCTTTTAATGGCTGTAGTATTTTATACTTAGAGCTTTCTCATTTCTGTTGTCATTTCTGGAAGCCTGACCAGGGACAGGGGTTGCAAAGTTTTTTTTTCTTCGACAGTAGAAAAGTCAACAAAATTCTGTGAGGATGACATTTCAAAAATGCTATTTACTTTCCATCTCCTCATATTGATGAGATATTATCAAGTAACTGAGTAATCAAACCGAAGTAGCAGTTATTGATACTTGACATTTAGCAGGCGGCAGCACAGACGGTACTTCAGTTTTTAGGAGTACAAATAAATATTTACTCATGATGAATAGTTTAAACGCTTATTGTTAGTGACACTGTTCCTGCCATACGGAAATGTTTCAACCCTGTTCTGACTTTCTGTCTCACTGGAAAACTGCATATATTTCTGCACACATGCATCCCTGTAGGTCTCAAATGAGGGGATACAGTTGCCTCTATAATTAGCATATTCAGCAGCAGCAGCCGACTTGTGCATCTAATTTGAAAGAGGTCACATTTTCTGTAACGCTAATAACTGAGGTTAAAACTGCAACTGGTGGTGTTAATTGTCTTTTAAAGATGGATTTGTGTAAGAAAAGAGACAATCTAGGCAGCTGAAAGACACAGACAAGGACAGAGCACTTCTCGACCTTGAGTCAAAATGAAAACCTATTTTGTTTTTCCATGCATGAGGACTGTACACCCGCATTGTCCACCTAGCTTCACAGGTATCCTTGGCAAACCCCAAGCTTGGTGTCTCTTCTCTCAATACTCACATTGTTTACTCAACTGTACTTCTCCTAGGGTTCCCTACACTGAGATCATTCTTTGTTCAATTAGATAAGGAGGAGGAGCAGTCTCACGGCAAAGATGTTTGGGATTCAGCGAGTACTAAAGACTGCCACAGAGGGAGAATGAGAAAGAGGAGACAAAGGGAGAGGATTGAGGAAAAAGGGGAAGCTGTGGAAAGTGGTGGCTGGAAGACAGGAGAGAGAGGAGTAAAGGAGGACACTGAAAATGAGGAGATGAGATGAACAATGAGCAGGGAAAGAGGATGAGAGAGCCAAGAAAAGACTGCAGAGGAAGAGGAGGGCAGCACAGGAGGGGTACGGTGAAGATAACAGGTGGAAGATGAAGGAAACAGACAATGATAGAGAGTGGAGACTAATAAAAAAAGAATATTGTTAAAGAGGTAGAATTAAAAAGACTGAGACAAACCAAAAAGCACATTACAGATAATGAAAAGGAATAATGGAAAAGCGTAGGAGAGAAAGACCGGCCTCTACACTATCTGGGAGCCTGCTAATTGGTGGTGGTTTGGGTGGAGGTGGTTAGGAGGTTGCAGAGGGATCACAGACTGCAGCAAGAAAGAATTTCTAGCCTCTGCTTTCTTGGAGACGGGGAGTTTCACTCAACTTTAAAATTTAATGACTGTAGAAACTGAAAACACTTGGCCTTGTCTCCTACAACCAGTACTTTAATTTTTAATATTTGTTGATGTTTTTTGAGGTTTCCATCCTACGGGTCAAATTAATGTCAAGGAATAATCACGATTTATTTGATATAATTTGGAGTATGACAGTTATTCAACTTGTGCAATGGGGAGAGTTCACTCCATAATAGGGCTGGGCGATATGGGAAAAAGTTTATCACAATATATTTTTTTCATATCAGTCAATATCGATAAATATCACAATATAAAAATGATATTTAACAGTGCTTATTGTTAGCATGTCTTTTGCAGTACAATAAGCTACTTCATCTGTGAGGTCTTTGTGTCTCTTTGACGTTTCGTCGTAAGGCGTTGGGCTAGAGAAAGCAGACTGAATGGTCGGCTGTTTCGGATGCACAGGTGCCGTGGGCTCCTTGCTCCACTCAGGGTTTGTAACCTTTTGTATGACACGTGCTCTGCTGCATGGTACTGCTTCAGGTGGTGAAAAAGATTTGAGGTATTCCCCGACATTGCGAGAACATGTACTTGACATAATTTGCAGTGCACATTACTCTGCTTCATGTCCGAAAATACCCCCAACCACTGAGGTTTTCATGCCAGTGTTGTTGACGATCTGTTGAGCCTTCATCTGCATTTCTGCCGGAGGTAGCACTCATTTTCTTTTTTTCTTACCATCAGTGCTGTCGGCTTCACGTGTTAAAGTGCTAAAGTTGTGTGTAGCCACAGCCTGCTACTACGCAAATGTTTGCTACTTGGGTCTAATTCAGCACATGAGTGGTTCAGCACAAAGCAGACCCGGAGCAACTCCCTTTTTCATTGGCTATTCGTATAGTCCACAAAAACATGGCAGAATGCCAGCATATTGACCATGTTTCATATCAATATTGAGTGAGATTAATTTTTAAAATATATCATTATTGTTTTATCGCCCAGCCGTAATTGTGAGGCGTTCAAGGTCTGGTTGGTAAAACGATGCACAATCTGTTTTAAAAAGATGAGAAACAGATTAGAGTTTAAAATCACTGCACTAAAGTCAGCTATCACATTCCACCTTTTAAATGTTGGAAGAGAATATGGTTTCACTATTTCACACAAAAGTGTATTTCACATCTACACATGAGCACATTAGTATTGACACAAACCATGTTAAGTATTCACAGCTGAATGTTTATGCTCGAGAAGAAGACCTGAGTCTAGTCTCCACAAATTAAAAGTTTATTATTAGACATCTCTATTACAGTCTCTATTAGAAATGCACAGTTTCAGTCAAATAAACCCACACACAGTAAATATAGACTGTAGTCTTTGATATCAGAACATGTAAGAGTCCTTTGAAGATGCAGTCTGCGACTACGCAGTTGTCTGCTACTTTGCTCTAATTCAGCACATGATTAGTTCAGCAACTCACCTTTTCATTGGCTATTTATATAGTCTACCAAAGCATGGCAGAATGCCGACTATGCCGACAAGGCAGAGAAAGCAGCAGCAAATAAATTTGATTAAGATAAATAAATTAAAATCCCCCCACAGAACAGAGCAAGCATCAGTGACAATACATATGGCACTGGTAAGATCAGACACAACATAAACATGAGGAGCTGGGGTGGAGGTGGGTTGCAGAGTGGTTGCAGCAGGCAGAGTAAGCAGGAGAAGCAGTTTTAATAGGGCGCCATTTTGACATTAGCCAATAGGATGTGTAGAGGGCGACCACCTGAGCTGTTGGCTGACTGAGGGCTGGCTTAAGATCAGCTGACTGTAGCCTTTAGCTTGACTTAGCTTGACGCCCAGCCCTACTCCATAACATTAATTCTTTTATTATTCATTTAATAATACAATACATAAGTACTTGTAATTTGGGTATAGTCCTTTCAGCTAACCTACTGAGCTAAATTTAGCTTAAATCGCTAAAGAAAGTGAAACCAGTCAGGCACTGTTGTCTTTGCAGCCAATCAAATTGATGAATAGCTAATGAGGGGTCTGCTTTCACTCTTTTCTAAAACTAAGGATCCATTGTTTGAGAGAATAATAAGTGGGAAGTTGCTGTCATTTAAACGGCTCAGTCTATTTGCTGTGTGAGAATTTAAAACTTGACAGACATGGCAACTGAGGTGGGCGGGGCTTAGCAAAACGTCTCTTTCCTGATTACCGCAATCAGAAAAAGGTCATAGCCGGTGTTTGTATTTCTTGGCACATCGGAGTGCCTACTCGCTCATTACAAATGTAGATGCATGTGAACCCCTCGGTGAGATGTGTGTTAAGTCACAGACCGACAAAGCTCACATTTACATTCAGCCATCCATCAGTTTGTTCTTGTTTTACTGTCACACTTTCCAATGAGCTCCCACTCTACATCACGCTGAGAAACTAGCTCTGAGCTGTGTGGATAACAAAAGAATAAATACTTGGACACGCCAACAAGGGGCATAATGATCGTAATTAAAGGGACAATGGTGACTGGTGTATAATTATGCACAGAGAATTATGGCAGTTATTTTGTTTTAAGGATGTTAAGGAAGAGTGAGAGGGCTGTATTTGAATTCAAGTCTGTCAGATGATTACAAACACCCCCACAAATGTGCCTTTGGGTGATGTGAAACTGGGAGACCAAGATGACAGACTGTACTAAATCATAATGCACACAAAGAGTCTGAGGAACGCACGGACCGGTCTCGCATTCTCATACTGACGTCTATCTATCCAAGTGTAAAATGTATTTTCTAGTCAAAAAAGAAGCCTATATAATCAGTGTTTCTCTCTCAAATCCTGGTCACAGATGGTTTAGAAATTGCATTTTCCGTCCCCGTGTGATGTACCACAGCAGGTGGGTTATCGCTGTTTTTTTTTTTCTCCTCTCCTCCCACTCCTTGGGGAAATGGAGAGAAGAGAGGATGGAGAGGAGAAGTAAGAGTGTGGTCAGACAGCCAGAGAGTTGCTCTAATTAGGTCCATGGTTGAAGAGACAGTATTTACCATCTCAGACAGAGGGGGGAGTCTGTCACATTGTTTGTACCGTCAGTCCCTGGGAGTTTGGTGCTATTGCAACCTCTTACATCTTGTATTTGGGTTTCTGTTGCTACAATTCGAGTATTTGTGTTTTTCTTTCTGCTGTATGTGCTGTAAAGTCAGATTTTCTGTATTTTCTATCAGTGAATCTGTCTTTGTGCACATGCTATCCTTCTGTACAAGGCCTCCCTTTACCCGTACTCTTCCTCCACACCCACTGCCTGCTGCTTTATGCAAGGGTAAATAACTCAGGTCAGGCAGACACTGATAAACCCCTCAAGGACTTCTCATTTGTACCAGGGTCATGGAACCCATATTTTCCCCCTTCCTCCTCCCTGACCCTCGTGTCTCTATCACTTTGTGGCATACTCTGCTGAAAAGAAAGCGTACGACCATGTGCACCTCCTTCTTCCTGCAGGAAAACATCACTCAATGTGCATCTATTCCTTTATCGGGTATTTTGAGGTTTGTTAGCATTGAGTGAAGGAATAAAAGGAAATTGTAGGACAGGTGCTGTGGGGGAGGGGAGGCTTCCCTGCTGTGAGCCAGGTGACTCTTTGTGTGTGTGTGTGTGTGTGTGTGTGTGTGTGTGTGTGTGTGTGTGTGTGTGTGTGTGTGTGTGTGGCTCAAACAAGAAATCTGATGAAAGAAAACAACAGATGGATTGACAATGCAGAATCATCACTGGGCCGCTGATCAAGTTTTAAAACAAGAACAACAAACTAGACAAAGGTAAAACAAACACTTAGCAGTACAGTGACTGAGTTTAGTTTGTTGACCAATCAGGGGTTTTGTTTGAGGCTCTGTAATTCATGTGATTCAGTGCTGATCATAAAGTATTTGTACATGAAATTTCACCACATGAAAAGACATCTCAATACCTGTGAGATGTTGCTGTTAGCTACTTGAAGTTTTGCGAGGTCCTGGTTTGGCTGAGTAACTTAAGTTGCAAACCTCTTGTGAGGATGCTCAGGTTTGATTAAAATCTGTGGCCTCTTTCCTGCATGAAATTTCCCACTCTTGCTCCCTGTTTTTGGCTCATCCTCAGTCTAATCTTTCATGGTTAAAAAACCAAAAGTATTCTAGAAAGACTATTAGACATTTTGCCAAGCTTGCAGATTTGCAGGCAATTGCTGTTAAGCAGTTGTTGTTGTTGTTGTTACTGTTGTTGTAATTTGGCTGGCTGTACACGTTTGTTAATGCACTAAAGCTTAAGACTTGGCTGGAGTTCCACATGGATGTTCTATTAGTTTCTTTTTAAAGCTACTGTGAGGAGATTTTTAAAAATAATACTGTTGACAAAACCATCAGGGCAAAGACTGACAGCTTGTATACTTTGATTTTCAACACTCGAAACTGATGTGAGGCATACTAAAAGACAAGGAAAGCAAAGACTGCTTTGTCCACAGGGGGCGCCAAAGTTGACCCAAACATAACATTTCTTACGGGAGCTTTAAAATCCTGAATTCTCAGTTACTCTTAGTCATTTTTTGTTAGATTAGATTAGAGTAGATAAATTCAGATTAGATAAATTCAGATTAGATTAGGTTATATTAGATTAGATTAGATTATTAGATTAGTTAACATCAGATTAGATTAGATTAAATTAGATTAGATAAATTCAGATTAGATTAGATTATATTAGTCCAGATTAGATTAGATTAGTGCAGATTAGATTACACTACATTACATTAGATCAGACTAGATTAAATTAAATTAGATCAGAATAGATTAAGTTAGTTTAAATCATATTGAATTATTTCAGATTAGATTAGATGAGATCAAATCAGATTAGATTATATTCTATTAGATTAGATTAGATTAGATCAAATTTTATTGATTTTGGGAAGGTTTTCTCAAGAAAGTTAAAAACACTGAGTTTTGCACAGTAATGGCTGACACAGGCGAGCTGATTGTCTCAAATTTCTGATCAAAATTCAATTTGAAAAGCCAAGATCTGCTTTGATTCAGTTGAGATGGGGATCCGGACATCTCTACTTAACACATTAACACAATCCATCCCACTGAGCAGAGACGGCAATAAGACTTCTTGGTTTTTAGACCTAATTTCAATCGTCTGGATTAGGTATATTTTTAGTCGGAGTTTAGATGTTGCTCTTTAACCCATTATTCAATAACCATTTATTCCAAAAAGCAACTGTGAGTTGAATAACTGATCTCCAAGTACTTAACCAAAACAAATATGATTGCCATTGAGCAATATACAGTGAAGTATAGATACAGCCCAGATTTAGATTTAGTCTAAACTTGGTCTAAATTTAGACGTCTAAAAAACTTTCATTTTTAGACCTGTGGGAGCCTGATTTTGGACCAGTCGTCTAGGCTACATTTAGACGTCTATTGGACCTCTTTTAGACCTAAAAATGCTCAGTGGGATATCAGTGGTATGTTGTATACTATCATTCTTTCTTCAATCCAGGCTCCAAGGTTGTAACTGTGTCAATTTACCGTAGTAAACTGAAAACCCGTCTTGAAAATAGGTTCAGAGGTGTGCGTGTTCAGAAAAAGCCAGAAGGGTAATATCCAGACAGGAAATATTAAACCGCGTGATCATGATGCTGTAGAGGTACTATAACAATGCCCCAGGGCACACAGTGTTAAGTATGCACTATGGGGCATGTGAGAAATACAGAGAATAGTGAAATAATAGAGGGAAGATGAGATAATATCAAAGGAGGGAGCACAGTACGGAGTAACAAATACCTAGAAGGGGCTCTGTATGTGTGTGTATATGTATATGTATGTGTGTGTGAGTGTGCGTGCTCTTGTATTTGATGCTTCTTCATCTCTGTGCAAATGCTCGATGTAACATTCCCTCCCCCGGCCAAGATTAGGCTTTTTTACAATTCACGCTGGGACTGACATTAGGGCACACTTTGAATGCAGATAAGGGGGAGAAAGAGGGAGTAGAAGCAACAAAAGAGGAATGAAGAGACGTTGTGAGGAATAGGCAGAGACAGACAGGAAAAAGAGGAGCAAGGCAACACAAAGAGGTAGCTGATGGCTTTTGATTTCTCTGACAGGGTCGAACATAAACACTGTTCAAATATTTAAGAGAAGACTCTGACGCTGAGATGAGGAGATCAAGCTCTCTGCAACAACAGTGGAAGTCTTCACAGCATGGATCCTTCATAAAGTCTTATAATTGCAATGACATCTTAGATTTATGAGACTCTGGCCTCCAAAGAGGAAGCTTTGTTGACGCATCCACCATGAAGGAAATGCTTCAAATATCCAATCAGCTTTTTTCTGTGTTTGTGTTTTTCTTACCTTGTATGACAGATGCTTACAGACATTCCTTTGCCAAAATCGATTCAGGATATTTTCGAGGTCAAAACGCCTCCTCTGTGTTCGCTGACATGTTTTTACATAGTGGTCACCTTCACTAAACTCCTCTCCAGCAGCTTCATTTGCATTTTGTGATAAATTAAACATTTTCACCCACAGCTGTTCACCTATTTTTGCATCTTTTTTTGGCAAACAGAGATTGTGAAAACAGTTAAGGTGCGCAGACTTGTATGTCAACGATCACACAATAGAAAAAAAAAAGTTTCAGAAGCGGGAGCAGAAGGAGCAGGAGCTGTTTGCATAAACTTAGGTTTCTAATGAACATAATTTATCAAGGTCAAGACTGGAGGAAAAAGGACGGAATAATTCATGCTGCTGCCCCACACACTCACACACACACACACACACTCAATTTTCCTGGTCTCTCCGTCTTGTTTACGCAGAAAGGGTGACAGTAAGGCCGCTCCTGAGGGACGTGAAGGAATTATATGTGTAGATTCATACAAAAGTTCCATTATCCCACTTGGCCGCCTCTTAACCTAAATCTGAACAGACGCATTCATACCAACCCCTGTGGCCAGGAGCACCTGTATTGTTGTCGAGCAATCCATGTAGGAAATGAGGTTACTGTATAAAGGCGAGGGTTAGAGACGGCCCAGCTCAAAGAAAAGAGACTAAATCAAATGTGTCCCGACTGTGAGTTAATACTTACTATAGAGGCATAAAGCTTTAAGGTGGTAAACTCTGATACAGTAAATTACATTTATAACTAGGCTTTGACCAATCAGAGTCAAATATTTTAGACAAAAGCCATGTTTATTGTCGATTTATTTATTGTCGACATGTCGATTGGAAGATTCAGATCCAGTTCGACTCAATCGGAAATAAATTGTATTCTAATCAATGGTTTATGCCGATCATTATGTCGAAACGCGTCCAAGTAAACACTTATTCTGATGATTGATTGAACATTATTCTCTTACCTGACTCGATCTTCACTCTTTAGCCTTTGGATTATTTATTGAGGCCAGTACAGGAGGTTTAATTATTAACACTCTGGCATAAAACACAACCTCAGGTGCCGTGTCTGCTCCTCCAGTAACATAAGAAGTCGTACATACAGCATAATGATGTCACATCTGCACGCGCAGTGCAACCTTTGACAGAACAGTAAAATAAATATGCAAGGGCGCCATCCAGTGACAATATTTAACAGGGGGGAACATCCTGAATTGGATGGAGTGAATACAGCTCTTCTTCTGTGATTGCGAAATTAGACAACTCTGCGCATGTCCAAATGCTTCTAATCTGAATAAAACTTGGTGCATGTATACGAACGTCATGATCGGATTATTTGATTTTGCACCCATATAAACAGTTGATTCAGATTATCTGATCCCTCACATTTAGAATCAAGAGATTTTGCCCATGTAAACGTGGCTAAACAGGGTAATAACACTTTCTTCCACTTGGGAAAATGGAAATGTACAGTGAGGCTATCCATGTTCAGCTGACACTATAACTACAGATTGCAGCTTTTATTCCCAATTGTCCTCAAACAGCCTTTGATGCATCCCAGGTTTTTCAGCATATATACATTTGTACCGACTAATCAACCGCGCTAACCTAATTAAATCAGCTTTAAATAATGAAACAACCTTGTTGCACATATGTCTGAACACCTGCTTGAGACGCTGACTCTGGTTTTCCTGAGACGCCTTGAATGTAAACTGATCCATCTTTTATCAGTTTCCTTTTCATGAAACCAGCTGCATACAGCACTCCTACATCCTGTCTGGCTTTAGCTTTAAGATGATGAAAAATTAATCAAAGGAAACATGTTTGCTGGCCTGTTCTGCGGGCTGTGGTTACTGTTCTGTGTGTAAAAACACATGTTCAGAGCAGGAAGGACAGGGTATTCATACATGAGGAGATTTAGCAGTCTCCTTTTTCTCCCTCTTGTTCCTCCTTTTAATCACCAGTTTGAACTTGCTGTAACTATTTCCAATAACTTGCATTTTACTCTTTTCATAGTGATGCAGCATAAAAGTCCTGAGCCATGATCTTGAATAATTTGGCGTATAGCAAGCACTGCAGAGCTCAGTTATTATTGACCACATGCGGTAAACACAGTGTTTTGGTTTTGCTGTCGAAATGATGGAGCTGGATTTCTGCTGTGTCCACGTTTAGCTCAGAACTTCACATGCATGTCATCCCACGTCTCTGTCTCCTCCGCCTCCTCTCTCCATCCTTATTTTTGTCAAATAAAAAAAAGTAAAGCGTGAGTTGGTCATTTTTTTTTAGAGGCATCTCTGATGACAACTCACTGTGGGTTTTGCTGATGTGAGGCTGCGTTACAGCTGAGAAGAAAGGCGGAGATTTGTGCATAATGTATCAAAGCCCGCGTGAGTTTGATTGAAAAGTAAAACTTTCCCACTTTTTTCCTTACCTCCCAAAAAGCCTAGAGTATGCATAATCTGCATGGCATTTTTGGGCCATTTTAGCATGGTATTTTTTTTATGTGAAAGCTTTTCTCTGTCCAGAATATTCCATCTGCTTTGGATCTATCGTGCAAAACACCTGAGGGCTCACTTGTACAATCTGAAATTTTATCTCCCTGTTTTACAGTCGTCTAGAAATTAAACACCCTCAGATTGGCCAGATTTCCCAGCTCTTACTCATTACTACATAACCCACCAAATAGTTAGACAACCCCCCTTATCGTTATGAATAAAACCCCCTTGAAGGCAAGCAATTAACCTGTTAGAAAACGCCTGTCATCCTCACTTTCTCTTCTCCTCCTCCTTTCACCTCTTCGTTCAGCCTCCATTAACAGCTCACAGACATTTTCATGATGTAAGGTTTTTTAATTGCCTCCTGGGGAGCTCTGCTAATTCTTTTTAATGTTTCAGTATGATGTACTGTATGTGGTAAAGACGGGTAAAGACTTCATGAAGGTAATCATTTTTTTTCCCCCAGCCCGGCCAACTTTCGATCCTTGTTGTCAGGTGTTAAAAGCTCATTGGCTGAGCGCTGATTTATTCAGCAGTCCAAGGATTCTTATTCTCTCGTACTTATCACTGAGCACAGGGTTGAGAGTGGGAAATTAATTTTTATATTATTCATTAAGACACATTTAATCCCTGTTTGACAGCATGGGTTTAGCTGCATTTGAATGGCAAATGAAGCAGAAACTGGAACCGGAACTGCAACATTTTGATTAGAGCGAGAATTCAATTTCCACACATTAGGTAGCATCATTAATCATCCTCGTAACAAACAGAGGTTACAGTTGTTTCCCTCGGCGTAAAACTGTTTACACCGCTGTTTATTATCGCTACAAGAATCTTCAGTTGTAGTCAGTCAAAGCTGAAACAGCGAGCATGACGGGAGCTCGCATTGGCAGAACATTTTGTTGGGAAACCAGCAGGTTGTTTTTGAGCAGATTGTGTAAGGTGGGCAGTTTGACAGGCATGTTTCCTCCTCTCTCCTGTCCTGGTGGATAAATCTTCTGTTTGACAACATACTTTCAGCGCCTGTCTGATAAAATATCTCTGACTCTCTGTCTTTTTGGCATAAAAGTGGCATAAAATGACTGACGGTATAAGGGATTATCCAAAGCAACCAACTTCCTAAGTGTTTAAATGGGAATGTAAAATCTGGCCAGTCCAAAAGTAAGACAAACATGGTTAAACACTGGATCACAGAGTCTGTGGGTAAATGATGGCAAAACCCAGTTTAACATACAACTTAATCAATCAATCACCGTGAAATCCCAGCTGTCATCTGTGCTTCTTTACATCCAGATAGTAGAGAATTATTGTATTATTAAGGGGTGGCTGTGGCTCAGAGGTAGAGTTTGGTGTCTCCCAATTAGAAGGTCAGGATTCAATCCCAGGTCCTGCTGTCCTCATGCTGAAGTGTCCTTGAGCAAATGGGATTCGTCAACAAAACTAATGGGCTCCGTACAAAGCAGCCTCTGCCATCAGTGTGTGAATGTGGTGAGTGTGACATGTCGTTTAAAAGCACTTAGAGTGGTCAGAAGACTCGAGGAAGCGCTGTACAAAAACACAGACCATTATGCCAGTTACCGTTAACTGAAGCTACAGTGCTGGACAATGATGGATATCTGTGTCAGAGCTTAGAAACAACATATGTACATTCAGGGCTTTCAGGTTTTGCCAGCTCTTAGCACAAAAGAACTGTGATTTCTGCGTGTTGCCATCGTTCATAGCCAGACAAGCAACATCGATGAGGGACGACATAAGTGCTAAAAACCAACCTCTTACAGTTGATAGTTAGCTGTGCTCGTAAGATATTGTAGACATAAATTTAGGCTGAATTATTAAGATGACTGCAAATGACTTTTACAACCAAAGCTCACTGAAACTACTTCAATACATGCAAGCCAGTTGGTACCAAAATCTTATCCGGTGCCAGCAGAGCTGCCTTTTATTTGCACAGTCAGTGAAAACAGAGAACTCTGGTGTAAAATTCACGTTACTTACCGATCTCCAGCTCCTGCCTGACGATTTTGCCACTTTATGGACATCTAAGCCTGAATTTACTTAAAGAATAAAACGCTCTGATGACTCCTGCACATGCAAACGTGAGCAATGGAGCAAAATGTTCCCCAATACCCAGTGCAGACCAACCAACAATTTCAGATAGTGGTGTGGGTTTCACAAATACTTTGTGAAATATGGTTTGATGAAGTCTTTGCTGTTGTTGATTTTTATGTAATACAGATTTGGACGTACCAATGTAAAGTCACAGCACTGGAACTTTACGCTTTTTGCTGAGTGGACAGACATCAGTCTATTGGCAAAAATGTGCCATGCATCAATGTCATTAGCTGATGTTTACTGGTATCACTCTTCATCCTTACTTTATCTTTATTGCATTCATTTAATACTGGCAGACTAGTTTACCTCACTGCTGATTCAGAGGATAGGTTTTATTGGGCTGTAGAAGTCACCTGTAAGACTTCATGATTTGTTTTTATGGTCCAACTTAAAAGAAAATGTCGGCTGTGTTGAAGTATTACCCCATCCTTAGAGGGGTTTTAGACATGCAGTGTTAGACATGTTCTGGACAAGCAGCAACTTCAGTCTCACTGGAAGAACCAGAAAGATGTGATGTAGAAAAAAACCCAAATCAGTTTTCGACCATCAACTTATTTGTAGTTTCCAGCATCCAGTTAGAGTAACCAGTTAGAGATGCACTTCTATATGAAGAGCATCTCTAACTGGTTGCTGAGTTCACTTCACTTTCCTAATCACTTTAAATGCCTTCGCCCCTGTAGGGAGCAATATAGGAAAAGCCATTATATATATAATGTGTACATGGTCAAAATACCAGTTCAAGGCCAACCACAAAAATATATATACATGAGTTTCATTATGAATAATTTATTTTACTTTCTGCTCATAACATGTTTAATCATTGAGGCAGCCAAAACAAAACCACTTTGTCTGCAGCAGCTTCTGCAAACTGTCATTAGTTTATGTTTGTGTATGCTTTCATTCATATGTATGGACGACGAGAACAGCCATGGATTTTTCTTTTTTTTTATGCACTGTTTTCTCAATATAACAAAGTTTGTTTTCTCATAATAGCAAATAACTTTTTTCCGTTATCTTGACCTAACAAAGATCATTTTTTGTGATAACGAATTATTCCACCGACCTAAAACAGTAACTTTTCAGAGAGCCCTCATGAGTGGAATATTTCTGAAATTCTTCCGTTGTCGACAGCAAGCAAGGTTTCAATGAAAATGCTGACGTCATGCTCCATGCATGGGCATTACGCTTTCAACGTGGGAACATTTTACTGGCATGTGCAAATTGGACAACAACAGTAACAATGGCAGACACATTATTAATTAATTTGTTGTCACAAGAAAAAAGATCTTTGTTATATTGAGGTAATGAGATAATAAGACATTATCAAGAGATAACAGTGCATTAAAAAAGGAAAAATCCATGGCCGTTCTCGTACTCTATCAATGAGATTTAGTGCTCATTTCTGAAATTTGTTTGATTTATGGTTGTGGAGTTATGATCTGCACATTCGCGGATATTATTTAACATTCAGGTGAACTTAAAGCCTAATTTCTACACATTGACTACATTTCCGTATTGGATCCTAAACAAGCCTCACTCACTTCACTATCAGTTTCTGATGCAAATTCCCAAGAACAAGTTCACAAAATCCTCTCACAGCTCCCTCCGCTTTAAGCTGCTTTAGTTTTGCTAAGCCACCAACTACACTCTCTGGTAATACAAAGTGGCTTTTTATGGAGCTAATATATACAACCTTTATTTAACCTGAATTTCCTGCTTGGTGCTAATGCACATCCATATAACCAGCTCATACATAGTTTGGATATGTAGCCTTTAACTCTCATGCTGACCTTTCTATCCATCTGGCTCCTGCTGGAGTAAACTTGTTTCTCCCAGCCTGTGTGTTGTGCAACAGCATGCAGCCATACACATGTGGTGTACGCTTGAATATACACATTGAAAAAGGCCAGATGCCTTGCAGCATTGGAAATGTTACGAGGTAAATGTCAGCTGGCAGTGGGAAGGAAAAAGCAGGAAAAATGAAACATATATTCATAATGCCTCCATGGAGTACATTTGCTCACTTTCCCTTGTGTTTTCTCTGCTTTGGGCATTTCTACCCACAATGTTTAGTTTATGCGCTCAACAAAACAAACAGGCAGATATGGCCACTAACTGTATGCCTCCGCAGTAACAAGGCAGTATTTGAAAATCGCTCCATTACCATCGAGTTTCTGTTCAGACGAAGCCACTATTATGCAAATTCATAACATAGTTTCTCTTCTACGCTGCGGTGTCAAATCAGATTACAAGCAGCTAAATAATAAATGCACCTTCAGCTCTCGGAGGCACTTATAATCATCATCACAATGTGTCATATTATGTAACCCAGCAGTGGCTGTGTGTGTCTACATGTGTGTTACATTGTTATTCAATCAGCTGAGTTACGCAGCCTCGTGAGAGAGATTGTGACACTTTGATGACCTTTGGACAAACCTGACAGGAATGTAACAGGATGGATATGTGCTCAGATTACATTAAGACCCCATTCAGAGGCTGCATTTATTATCTGCCCCATAAGGCCAAAACAGTTGATCTTGCTGGTGCTTTGATTACCCCAACAGTAAAAATGCTCTAATAGCCGCCTGGGCTGTTTTCAGATCTGGCTATAAGCTCTCAAGATGATACAGACCGAGGCTGCATTCAAAATCCCCTGCAGCGACGTCCCTGATAAACGGACAAAATCCTGCTGAAAGGTGGGGTAGGCAGGATCTGAGGAAGTGCCAGTTTTTGGGAGAAATCTTGAATGTAAACTCTACCCCTTAAAACCAGTTTTCCCCTCAGCTCCTCCTCTCCCCTCCCTCTCTGGTCCAGCAAGCCCCGCCCACAAACAGACACTCCTGCTCGCTCGTACTGTTTCAATAATGCAGAAAATACTTCAGATGATTACAAATGGGACCCAATCAACGTGAAAGTAAAAACCAATGGTGCTACTGCAGATGCCGACACACTGCTAGCAAACACAATGTTTGCAGGACTTTTACATCTTTAGAAACAGTAAACAGTTTGGCGGTGCTACGACACGCAGCAGGTCCGACACTTGGCTTACTTTGTTAGAGCGGTTTACTTGTCCAGCAGAAAGGTTACAGGGTCTGTAAGATCCCGGAGCCTCCCCCATCATTGATGTTGACCCAGCTTTTTAGCTCTTTTCCGGTCTACCTCCTTTTTAAGCGCTTTTTATTCCGCCAGAGTCTCCAGTATTTACTTTGTTTTCTTGCTTGTGTCGGCAGTCATGGCTAAAGGAGGATTCAGACAATTTTCCGTACTTTCTGGTTGGTTTCTACTGTCTGATATTGTAGCACACTAACTTTGTTCGGGCTTTGGGGGAGCAGCGTCTGCCTCACAACCAATCAGCAATAAGGAGCAGCATCCACTTTACAATCAGGTCAGGGGAGGCGGAGAATGGTTTTGTTTACAGTCAGAAAGAGCAGACCACTTAAAAAATTTAAAATGTTGACTACACAGACATAACAAAACCCAGCGATATCCTTACATTACCAAATGTCATCAATAACTAACAGCTATTGATTGATATTAAAAGCTCTTTTGAAAATACGCCACAAAAAAAGATGCTTCTTTAACGAATTCCTGCCTACCCCACCTTTTAAGTGAGTATTTTTGAGTCTTTATTTCTTGTATTTACTCCATGGATCCAGGGTATCTAATGTTTGGTTTCCAGCCTCACACCTACACACGTGACCTTCACCCTCTTTCACATCTAATTGGTAGATTCCTAATCCTGCACATCCTCCTGCTCCGAGTGGTCCGGCCACCAGCTGACACCTCTGATTTGCTGCAAGGCCTAGTCGTGACCCATCCTCTCTATCACCAGTGTCAGGGTGTGTTCCCATGTGTTGCTGCACACACTTCATCCTGTCCGAGCAATTTATGTCTTTCTATCTGTTTGTTATTGTAGCGTGACCAACTGTCAGGCTGTAAACCAGGTAAATTACGGTGGCAGCTCGCTGTTTTGACACATTAGTTTAATATGTTCATATGACGACTCGGTCAAAAGAGATTACTCAGATCACTGAAGGCTGTGTAATGGGCTATTACATTTTGTATTGGAGCTGTGAAGCTGTGTGGTATCTTTTAACACATCATGAGTCATAATTTGTGATGAAAAATGCTCAAACTGTGAGTCCTGCAGAGCTTTGCCTCAAATGATGGTGAGCTGTTGCTTGGTTACATGTGTAGTTAGCAAAACTGTTTCGCTGCATGTTTAATCTCCTACTCATTGAGATGATAGAGAGAGAGAGAGAGAAGAGGGAGGAAGAACAGACAAAAAAAATACTTCACAAGCCACTGACTGTTGTGTTTTTCTTGTAAGTGTGCTCATCTTTATCTCTGAAGCACAGATTCAAGCACATGCAGTGTGTACTCAGTTTCTACAATGTCTCGAGATCACACACACACACACACACACACACTTATGACTCAATAACATTTTACTCCATGTCATAGATAAGTTGTACATAGATCAGTACTATCATCCATTTTTATTATGCTAATTTCTTCTGAATCCAGCCCCTCATTAGATAGTCGCCATCGGCTGCTGCATCGCTAGAAACACTCATTTGATTGCAAATCAGCTGTGAAAGCCTGGTATATAAAGTAATAATTCTGGTTGTCTACCGCACAACACAGGCACTTTGGCATAATTTCACAGTAAGCGATTAAAACAGTTTTCCTGTATGGAAAGGGAAGAGGACTTAAAGTTATTGTAAGGGTTTACATTGAGATTATGCTCTGTGGGCATATTTTCATTTGCCTCAAACGTCCATCTAACATAAACTCACTCTGAATATGTTTATAGACTTGATTTGAACATTTTCTCTAGAGCTGTCAAGTTTTCCAAGTTGGCATGCAAATGTTCAGATACATCCACATTTTGAAGTTTTATCTGCGATGCCTTTTTCCTGAGCCTCTGGCAGACGGCCTGCCGGTAAAAAAGCAGTCCTACGGGGTCGAACACTTGCTGTTGCACTGCTAGTTTGTGATGCCTCCTCCGCCGCTGCCGCCGGCACTTTACATGGTTGGCAAGCCTTTAGGCGAGCCTGTAGATTTGTCATTGTTGACAGGACAGCGGCTGTGTACAGAGTCAACAAACAGCCTTATTTTGTCTTTAATTTCTCATCTACGGTACAGAACTCAAAATACCTCCACACAGGGCTTCTCAGAAGTTGTCAAATCAGTCCGTGTGAAGGAGTCCACTGCCTGTTGACACTGTTGCAAATGAGAACAGAAATGTCAACATATGTACAGTATTATTACAGAAGGCCCATTCACTTTGTTCGATGTTTTCTTTAATGGAAATGATCAGTTATTAATGATTAATAATACATGAGTAGGCTAATCTGTAGGATTATTGACTTTACATTATCCATTGTGAAACATACACATATTAAAAGGCTGAATATTTAAATCCTTAAATAGCAAATTATTTAATCTAAAAAGAGGTTTTTATGGCAAGTTTGAAAAATAAGTAATAAAGCACAAAAATCCATTTCCCTGTTTAAGTGTGAGGTCGTAGAGAGCGTTAGAGGAGACAAACTATGCAATAAACCTGGTTCAACACCCACATGTAGAAGACTGTGCAGTGTTCTGAACAAAATTGGAATCGTATTTCACTCTAGCTTCACTTTGATATCATGTGATACAAGGATGGATAATACACCTCACTGTCATATTTCACTACCATCTTTTAGCCTCTAAGGTTCTTCATTGACCTGAAGTGACTCAGTTTATCAGTCATAGTTTTCAAGGAACGATCAGAGCAGAGTAGATGTGAATTCATACATTTTATTTTCTGTTTTCTTGTGGCGATGAGTAATTTACTGTTGGGATCTTGGCAAATTTGACTTGTTATCGTGGTCTCATGAAGCTGGTTTTCCAAAAACAGATTAATTTGTCTTATCATCATAAAATAATGAAAATTCTAGTTACTATTATCTGGTGTTATGTCAAGAAGTGGAGGGAATAAATGAGATTAACTCGTTACAGCAAAGTTAATCAGTCCACTCCACTTTGGGCCTGTTTTTACAATCTTTCATCAAAGATTGTTGCAAGTTACCTGTAGACAAGAATAAATCAGAGTCAGCTAGTGCGAAAAATGTATTTCAATAAGCCATGAAATACGTTTTGTTCTTTCTGCGTCAATACTCAGCGAAGCAAGATTTAGGTTAAGCTTGCATTCTCAGGCAAGAGAAACAAAGTTACTGCAAAGTATGACACTAAATGAGATATAACTTTAATAGGAGTGGTCAACTGATATCATTTTTTTATTAGCCCATGTTGATACAGCTTATGAAGGAATAGGACAGCTGATATACAGTATAATGCCAATATCACATTTAGAAAGATGATATTAATGTGAGACCTTGTGAAGTCTGATGCTGATATGACGCTCATTACATCCAAATGTCATCAATCTTATGACCAAATTATCGGTCTACCTCAATTTGATAGTGATTTGTGAGTCATCAACACACATTGACTGAAATACAGTGTTTCCACTGAACTAAATGATTATTCCTGTTTGAACATTTTTTGGTAAATAAGTGGCACAGAAAGCGAAAAAAAAACAGGATCCCTCTTCACAGGTGCTGTTGAGTAATGATGTGAAAGCCTGAACTCAACAGCTGATTTATTGCAGCCTGCAAAGACTGGACAGAAACCTCACGATTGCCATCCAACAGAGTGATAACAGACAGGTGTTATTGATGGCAAAGAGGAGGCAGTGCGGGAAACAAGAAAAGCAAACACTTCACGGGACATGTGGAGTTTAAGCTGCCGTCGCTGAGCCACTGAGAGAGGTGACGAATGGTTTGGAGATGAGTGTGCAGTCATAGTCTGCAGCCGGTTAAAGTCATTAGAAGTTCAAGTTTACAGATAAATGTCTGGGTGATTCATTCTAGAGAAAACACTGTTAGAATCACATGACTCACACCCTCTCTGTTTCTGTGTGTAATGTCCTTCATCACCTGTGCATGCTTTAGTTTCACACATTAAGTTCATCCACTCCCTCTGAATTACACAACCCTCTCTTCTTATATAATATAACTTAACATGCAAGTAGTTTTCATGTGTGCAACAGAGTGATGGTGTGTGTGTGTGTTATTTACAAAACGGAGGGCTGCCTTTGGCGGAAACCTGAGCACTCGAGAGATAAAGCGAGGCGGACAGAATCTAAAAATATCAAGCCTGAGTGAGCACCAAGCTGAAGAACAAGCAGGAAAAGGAGAAGTGGCGGTGGCTGTCTCTGCTGCCGAGCCGCGCTCTGGGTCTTCAGGCTGCTGGGCCGCCGTCTCAAGATGAAATATTAGGCCCTCATAAGCTAAAGGAAACAAATCCATCTGAGAGTAGACAGCTAATTTAAAGTGACAGGCAGAACAAGAGGGGATTCAGATCAGATAGTGAACGTTTGATCTGTTTGGGGACTCGGTGTGATGTAAAGTGGATGAAACAGCTTTAATAAGATCTGAGATAAATTGTTTGGGCATTCATCAAAATAGAAATAAAGGATCATTTGTGCTCATTAGGCATGCATTTTTAGAGTTGACTCTTTGCAGACTTAAATAGCAATTAAAGTAAAGTCTGGACCACAATAAGAATGAATAATTTGCATGTAAAAGTTTTATATTTGGTTCTATGGCTTAGGACGGCGATAAATCAAAAATTTTTCCGATACTGAAATTTACAACAATAACCGACATCATTTACCCATGTCAATATATTTGGTGTCAAAAAAAAATAAAAATAAAAGATGGTTTTGGATGTGTGTAGGTAGGCTATGGTCTCATCCAGTCCGTTACAAAGAGGGAAAGACAGGTGAGGAGATGGAGGACGGTTCAAAAGTTGTAGCGGCTGAAGTAGGTGAAGTTAATGTGGGTAGGGAGTGAGCAGCTTGTGGAATAGTTATTATTAACTGCTCAGTATATCGTGATATTGATTTGAGGCCATATTGCCCAGCCCTACTGTGACTATGCTGAGAGCTACCTGCCCTTTCATGTGTGTACGTGAGATGCAAAAGCCTGCAGCCTGTAGAGAGCACACGCCCCCTCTCATATGCATGCATGAAAAGCAAAGGCAGGGAGAGCAGCAGCAAAGACCCCCCAGGCTGCAGACCAGAGCAGTTTATGGTCTGTCTGAGCTGTATATTTACCATCTGGGTACAACACAGATCTCTCAATTTCCTAATCTGACCTCTTGAGCCTTACCTTCATGGCCATGCCTGCAGAGATGAAAACATCCACCCCCTACATCCTGCATCTCAGCCCTCATCCACACTTCCTGTCTCTGCATACCCCCTCAGTCTTACAAACTCTATTTTCAGTCCTGAAGCAGCCATTTGAAGCAAATTCTCTGTCTGTCTGTTCATTTGTCCAACCAGTCTTCAAACTTAACCTTCTTTCTGTTGGCACCTGATATGCAAAGTACTCTACAAAGTGTAAATGACTGTGGACCGGCTCCGGCGGTGGCTTGAATTGGCTGCTGATGACTCATAAAAACATAGATTTCCATTTGAAAAGGGGGCAGTTAGCGTTGCTTGTTATTTACGGTCACTTTAATGCAGTCTGTCGGCGCTCTAACTGAATATTCTTTACACCTCGGAAATCTCACTAAACAACACTCTGAAAGAGCTCTGAGTAAGATGGGTGCTTTAAAGCGCCTGCTAAAAAGGAGTAAAATAAGTTCTTTTTTCAAGGGAACTCAAATCAGCACTGCCTCTACAGAGGAGACATGTTGACCAAGCTCGTATGATGAACACTTAGCAGTAAGATTAGCATTTTTACGCTGTGAGAAAATGAGTCCATTTAGGGGAATCTAAAGCCGGAGTTGAATCCTTAAGACTTGAATTGGTCTCAATGGCGTGTTTCCTCTCAGCTGCAGTTCTTAGCCACTTCTCTCCTACTCTCTCTCTCTCTCTCTGTACTACAGCTGTGAATAAAGAGCAAAGCGATGAGGGTTTGTTCTCTGCAGTTCTAAATATGGATGCACATTTACATGCTGTTTCAAGAACATGCACAGTTCCGCTGCAGACACAAACGCACACAAATGAGGAACAAACTTGATGTTGTTGAGACTGAGTGGATCAGCAGGTGAATGATGGTGCACTTGTATATTATTTTTTGAATATGAAATGCAGGTGCATGAACACCCACACAGACACTGCAACACTTATTGTCACACATACACACACCCTCAGGAACCAGCCTTTGTCCTGCGGCTTCTGCTTCCTGCATGTAAAGCGCACACCACAGACTCTTTTTTTCACTAGTGGTAAAAACAGATATGAGTGTAATTTCATGTCATATTGATCCACGAGCACAAATAGGCATCTTAACAAGCAGAGCAGGATCATATAATTCAATTTATGTCCTTTTCCCTGTGTTTTGGGTCACACAGCAGCAGAGAGGTTGGAAGGAGAGCACAAACACCTTGTGAGTACACGGTTCAGACTGTTGTCTGCTGAGCAGAGAGGAACAGCCTGTGAGGTTAAAGTGTCACTTTTTCAGCCTGCATGATGAGTGCGGGGAGAGACTCGCCAAGTACAAACTCAGGTAGTACGCCAGAATTTTCAGTTTGTGTGTTTCTTCAGCTGAAAATATTTTGTTTTGAATTTGAAAGTGAAGTATCGTTGGACATTGATTCATGCGTTACTTATGTGATATTTGTGGTAACTTCTTCATTTCAGGTTCATTTTTAAACTTTGTTTGCCTTGTGGCTACATATCCGGGTTTGCTCTTTATATACTAAAATAACACTATTTATTTATGTTTTATGATCAAGCTGTGTCCTGTCAAATCAACCAGGAAATACAAATGATATACTTCAACTTTGGCTAAAATGTTAGCTACCGAGGATAACAGACACTTGGCTACTGCAGTCTCAAGGTGGGATATTTGGGCTATACAGTTTGTAACATTTGTAGCGTTTGTAAGCATAATAGCAGGTTAAAGTCTTTTCACCTTTGACCCTCTCTTGTTGACTGTAACAGAGGCGAAAATAGAGAGAAAGAGTTGGCAATGTGTAGCACAAGAGCTGGAAGGGCAGAACAGAACTGTGTGTGTGCATGTCTGACTGTGTGTGTATGTGGAGCTCCTGGTGTGTGTGTGTGTCATTCATGCTCCCATGACGACATAGTATGATGTGTAGTGACATGTTGGACACCAGCCATGTGTAAATACAAAGGCATAAGAGAGGAAGAACTCTATTCCAACATTGCTACAGGGTTGTAGTATGAAAGAGGTTAATGTTAGTTTCTGTCAGGTTTCTGATTCTGATGTATATTATTCTTCACATTATTACTTACAATCTGCATGATTGTTTTCTACAATTTCTTGGTCTGAAAAAGTTAAATCAGTGCAGCCCCTTTACTCATAAATCAACTCCCTCCTTGTGTTTTTTCCAAGAAGGTGGCTTGATATAAGCTTGTACACGACCGCCATTGAGCAACATTTGTCTTTGTAATTAAATTAGATGATGTAATTTCATTCGACATCATCTGCTGTGACTAACATAATGCAATTGCCTCAGCTACAGTGAATCACCACCAGATGTGTTTGTCTGTGGGAGAGAGAATCCACCAAACACGTCAGACGCTACTGTGTGAAGTGCTGTTTTTCAGTGTTGTGCTTTTACGACCTCTATGGGCATTCACATGTGAAAACGTTTGCATGATTGTGTGTATATATATACATATACATATACAGCACAGCCTGTGAAGATAGAATTTACTTGACTTAATGGCTCCCACACCAAAGTCATCAGCACAAACTTAATCCTGAGGGTAGAATATGAGCGAGAGCTAAAAATAGTCCTTGTAGCTTCAGTAACAGGCGTAGCAGGATATGGTTGTCTGGTAGATGATGGTAGGTGAAGGAAAAAAAAAGCTAAGGGAAGGGATGGGGGAGGGAGAAGATTAAAGAGAAGACGTATAACTCGAGGAGAAATTTAAACGACAGGTGGTTTCATGTTATAAAGAAGCCTGAGAAGATTAAAAAAGCTTCTCATTAACTGTAGAAAATGACATTTATCAAAGTAGCGAAGGCGAAAATAAACCACTACTATCTCTGCTTTATGTCGTTTTTGCTTAAGAGGCTTTTTGGCTGGATGGATCTCAGACATTTTGTTCTTACTTTTCTATATTTGAGTCATTTGCATTTGTATTTGTGTGCGTATGTGTGTGCCGGTTCTTTCTTTTGTTTACCGACAAACAGGCTCGGTACACGTCTAAATAAGTCGACAACTCTGTCTCATAATGGATCGAGAACCTGATTAGAGACAGACAGATAAAAAGACATGATCTAGCGCCATCATTAATGCCGTCTGTTCGCAAACCCTAATTATAGCTAAACACGCTGCCCTCCCTCTCCCTCACTCCCACTGTCGCTCCTGTTACTAACCTCACACAATGCTTGACAATACGAACAAAGATCCCCCCAGGCCCCTAATCTAATAGAGCAGTCCCTACAAGACATCCACCAACATGCACACACACACGTGTACACACACACACACCAGCCAACATATAGTCAGGAGGGAAGATGAGGGAGTGATGGAAAAAAAAAGACGTGTAGTCAGATAAAGGAGATAAATTGGAGTCTGAGCACAGAATGACATAAAGAGAGGATTTTTTTTTTTTTCCCAGAGTCTCAGAGGGCTGTTGGTGTGATGTCTATCATGAGGGAGCTCTGGTGGGACCTCATTGTTCCCTTCTTTGTGTGTGTTTCCATCTGCTGCCAGCCCCTTTAGGGTCCAGTTATATTCTGTCATGAGTGTGGTCTCTGTGTGTGTGTGTGTGTGTATGTCTCCTTATCCTGCAGTAGAGTTAACTCTCCTGAAGCAGTATATATTGATTTTTGGTGAGAGCTGATCAGCAGGAAGAAAAAGGCAGAGTGCTGCAGAGCTGTTTGAAACATGCAGGACAAAAAAAAGACCTGAAATGCGAAAAGAGGAAAAGGCAAAAAGACCAACTGCTGACCTCTGCGTCTGACTCTGTCCTCTCTCCATCTGCTTTTGTCTTCAGCCTTGTTGTTTCAGGGACAAACAGGAGTAAGCGCTCTGAAATCCCTCTCAGCTCATTGACTGCTCAGCTAGTGATGTAAAAACTTTGATTTGTCACATGACTCACATCTCTCAGCGCAATCGTGAACATACTGTCACAACTGAGTAGTTTGTAGCTCTAAAAAAGGAATAATGGCAATACTTGAAATCATGGAAATCAACTTATAATTGTCGCTTTAAGCCAGACTTTGAGCTATGGTTTATTGACCCATATTAAGCTTTGAGGATGCACAGCGGCAGTGGCGGTTCTAGACCAAATTACTCCCCGGGCGAGCACCCCTCCAAGTGCGCCCCCCCCCAGCTAGAATTTTGAACAGATAGTTTTGTATTACTATGTATTATTATTATTATTATTATTATAACAACAAAATTAATATATTTCTCAGTTGCAGAAATCCTTCAATAGAAAAAAACACAATCCTGAGGGCCATTTTCAGAAGGGCCCCCAGATCCTGAGGTTTTCTGACGTGTTAAGGTTTACAAAAAAGCTGCTATCTCGGCCTCTGTAGTAGATAGAAACAAAATTCAAAAAGTATTTGAGAGCTTAAACATGTGGCTTTCAAGAAAGCTCTTTTTTTAGTTTTGCGAACCTTCATCACATTTTTGAAAACCTTGAACAAACAAACTCAAATGAAATAAAGCGGCTGTATAAATAAAAGTAAAGGCTCTGCACTGGAGAATGACAAATAATTTGCTTTCTGTAAAACAAGTGTCAGTCATGATAAAGTGTCCATTCAATACAAATGTAAATGTAGAAAATAAGGTGTTGAAAGGGTATACAGCTGCCTCAGTATAGTGCCAGTACAAAAGCAGAACTAAAAACTAAAAAATGAATAAATAAATACGTGGCTGACAGTGTGTTCATCTCTGTTCTCACCCAAAGTCATGCAACACTCAGAGAAAACGCTGATAGTGTGAGCCAAAGCACTCCCTATGAAGAGGTTGTCCACACTGCTGGATGTTTCTCCTCTGAAGCTGCTCTCTGCCGCCGTCATTGTTTACTTCACTCATGAAGCTCATCAAGCACGTAGCAAGATCGCTACGAGCGCTTTATTCGCCTATCAAAGGCAGACGGGTACGGTGATTTCATTCACCACGACTCCAGAAATGATTAAAAAACTACAAAATGACGTATCCGCGCTCCCGCTGATATGCTGACATGCGTACACAGAGCAGAGCTCGCGACTCTCTCCCCGCCTCGTCTCATACAGTCTGTCAGCCTCTGTGCAGCACCTTCGGAGCAAGCAGGGGCGCCTACAGCAGCGGGGGGGGCGCCAATTTGACAACAAGAGTTAATACAAATCCGCTTTGCGGTCAAGATTTATTATTATTATCTTTTATTTTATTTTTTTGGAAGTGCTCGTGCCGCCCCCCATGAGTCATGACACAAATGCCGCCCCGGGCGGCTGCCCTGTTCGCCCGTGCCTAGAACCGCTACTGCACAGCGGAGACCATTAGACTGAGTGCTTGCTTAGCTAACAGGCTGCTAACTAATAGGCTATTCCTTCCTATTTAGTTGCCTTTTACAAGTGAATTTGTAGGGGTGGGAGATAAAAATTATTCACATAAGTATCACAATTTTTTGTTTTACGATTTTTCAATGAACTTTTTTGTTAAAAATTTGATTTTTTTTTTTCAAATTCAAGAACAAATCTTAAAAACTGACTTACATGTGATTTGTATATTTTGGGGAAATATTGTTCCTTGAGTAGTCAATATAAAATCATAATCATTCGACTGTTTCACTGGTGTTAAAAATGCAGATTAAAAATTGAGAAAATCGACAATATCGTAGAATTGCAATTTAAATCGAATCGGCACCAAAAAACTCGTAGAAGAATCCAATCAGGAAATTTGCATGATTAAAAAATACTTATCTTGTTTTAACACACAATGAATCCAAGTTATGCTGTCCTGTTAGAATACAGATACAAATGATATAAATTCAGGTTGACTGTATCAGTTTTATATAATATATAGATGACAAATTTACAGACAGATTTCAGATTATACAAGTCTTTCCTCATGGCGACAGATGTAGCGTTTCTATGGTTTCGATTTACAAAAATGTGCACTTCTTTCTTTGGACACTAGAGGCGTCATCTGTATATTTAAACCTCAAATCAGAGAAATGAAGCCGATGCAGAAATGCTAAAACTGCAGTTCCCTTAAGTGCCTGCTCTGGGCTGGCAGCAGAAGCATCAGAAGTTAACATAGTCCGTTTTTAGAGCAAAAACATGCGTGTTTACAACCTGGTTTAAAAAAACTGTTTTGTTTTGCATACCCACTGAAAGTTTTTAGGGTTACAAAAGGATCAGGAGGGGCATTAAGTTGCGTTAGAGCTTTTGTGACAGGTTGCATGCCATGAAACCTGTGGCTCTGTGTGTACATCTACGATCGACACAGAATCTGATATCTTGGTGAGGACCAGCAGGTCACCAATCACCAAACAGACTGGAAATCAGCCACCTGTAGTCACCTGCTCAATGATCCCTACACTCCTACGTTGATAAGTGGAAGACAGAATGCAAATTCTCATAACAAGAGCGTAGAGACAGAGACAAAAAGGGTTTACCAAGAGAAGAAAATTCAAATTGTTTGGTATTTTTTACCCTTTATTACCTAAATTAGATTTATTTGTCCACATCAAACAAACATTGAAGATCCTAAACACATCAGACATTTCAAATGCAGATTCCCGACTCTCCGTGCCGCAGTTGTGTCAGCAAGTGGTCTTACATAATGCCGCATCCATCAGCAGGAGACAAGAAACCTAAAGAGACAGCCTGTTGGAGACTCCAGGCTGTAGCCCACGCAAACAAACAGAGGGATTCTCCACCCGCGGGGTCATGAAACCTACCCCCAGTCACCTGGATCGGCCCCTCCTTCTCTTGTCCTGTCCACACAGATTGCTGTAATACCTGGCACTGCAAGGTCAAGGGTCAGGAGTCCTAAAAGCATCCAAGTATACCAAATATCCAAATCTGCACACCAGAAAATCCCTGAAAAAGATGCTGTTCCCTCATTTATATATTTGGCAGACATTTAGCAGAAACTTAGCAGGGATTGAGGAAGGGACCCCTGTAGTGAGACCCCTGATTCAAACTCAAGGGTTGAGCCTCTGGGTCAGGGTCAGTTTTGTTGTTATTAGGAAGTAACACTTGCTGAGTTTGAATAAAGGATCCAACGTAATGGATCAAATTTTATATTAAATTTTATATTAAAAGTCTGGCTCACTTGGTGTATCAGATTTTGGATAAAGGGGTCCTACCTCATGGGTTTGTTGGATTCTGAATAATAACCACTGACCTTGCAATCTGTTAATCCAATGAAGGATACAACAAACATTGTAGTTTTTTTTTTTTTATTGTGTGTTTGAGGCGGCAGAGATGTACTTCCCCTTCAATGCCCCAGCAGGATGGAGGGTACACACAGCGGGAGATGAGCCTCTGTTTACTGAGTCGTGTTCAGCAGAGTGGGCTGCATGCGTGAGACTTCTGAAAGTGCGGTCCCTCTCTGTGCAGCCCACAGGAGACTGAGTGCTGAGTTGCTGAGGGTGGAGTGAATCGCAAAATCTGTGAGCTCTGTGGAGCACTAAGCCCGACATTGTTCTGCCTCTGTAAAGATTGACCCAAGCTTTGAGAGGATGAGTTTAGTCGCTTTCTGTCTCCTCGAGCACTTCTTCATTTTAGATCAGAGAGCTCTGGACAGAAAGATTTGTACCAAAGTTCAGTCTTGATTAAAACAAAAGGACTCAGTGTTTCTTACTTCCTGTTGTTCTGCTGATGATGAGACAGAAAAACTTGAAATAGATTTCCAAAGAAGGGAATAAAATTCTCTGTTTTTGTGGATATCTATAAATGACTATGAATCTCGAGAGACAAGTAGGGATTGCTCATTTTTGAGGGATAATCTTCTTCAGATGTCTAATGTTTTTGTCTCCTCTCCAGCTTCTCACGAACTTTTCTTTTTACTTTCCTTTTCTTTCTAGTGGAGCTCGATGCTGAGCATGCACAGAGGGTCCCTGGGGCAGAACAAGGAGGCATGCCAACTCCCCAGGTCAAGCTGAAAGAGAGGCAGAAGTTCTTTGAGGAAGCCTTTCAGCAAGACATGGAGCAATATCTGTCTACTGGCTACCTGCAGATCGCTGAGAGGAGAGGTGAGAAGGAAAAGCAATGAGGTTAGACGTTCTTTTGAGGTGACACAGCTCTGCTCTTAGATTCATTTCTATCAGCTCTAAATCGAGCATGTACTTTAAAAAAAGGAAAGTTTCTAAGTTGAGATCAGGATTCTGGTGTCTGTGACTTATTAAACAGTGAATGCAAAGCTATCAAGCATTAAAGTAACTTAATTCAAAAGCCACGATAGCATCAGCTGAAACCTTCACACTTCAGCTGCATATCTCTAGATTGGGCCATAATAGCTTTCTGCTGCGACGCTCCTCTCTGATTGCCTGTCGCTAAATCCACAAGTCGAGACATTACTCTGAAAAATGCCACCGTGCCGTATAAATGTAGTCTTCCTCTGGGATTGTAATGGAATCCTGCAGCAGCATACCTCATGTGTTACCACTAAAATCCTGTGCTAAAATACCCAGAGGATGCTCTGAAGCGAGGGACTGCATACTGCTCTGCAAGATGCATTAGACTCAAGTGGATAAGACTGTGGAATGTGATTTTTCTTCCTCTTTTACTCATCTATCGTGCTCCTTTAATCCTCTGGATATGGCTTATTAGAGAGGATTGTGAAGCAGTGAGGTGGGAGGAGGGATGGGGTGAGAGGAAAGGGACTTAAGGAGAGGAGAGGGTGAGGACTTGTGTTTGCACTGTCAATAAAAACAACCTGCTTTTTTTTAACTTAATGCAATGATGCATAAAAAACAGGCCCTAAAGCCATAGTTTGTGCTGCCCAGAGTCAATGTTAACAGCTCATTATTCAGAGACTAGCAAGGATCTTTTTTGTTACCAAATAAACAGAGGAGGTGTTTAGATGGGGACTCCAGCCTATACTATGACATTTTTATCATACTATACAATGATATCTTTATCATACTACAGTATGACTTTTTTTCAAACTAAAATATGAAAAATTCACATACTATAATATGACATTTTTATTACACAAAACTATGATATTTTTATCACACTATACTATGACTTTATTTTAAACTAAAATTTGACATTTTTATCATAGTATACTGTGACATTTTTATGATTGTATAATGTAACATTTTTAATTATACTAAACAATGACATTTTTATTGTACTATACTATAACATTTTCATCTTTCCGTACTATTTTTTTTCATACTAAAATGTGAAATTTTTATCATACGATACTGTGACAGTTATATTATACTATACTATGATATTTTTATCATACCATACTATGACTTTTTGTCAAACCAAATTTGAAATCCTTATCAAAGTATTATATAACATTGTTATCATAAGCCACAATTTTTTTGTCATACTGTACTTTGTCATTTTTTTATCATACAATTCTATGACCTTTTTCTATCATTTTCCATACATATCATACTTTACCTGACCGAGACCTGAACCCATGGCATTTTGTGCCATAAGGCAACAGTGGTTTCCATTACACCATGGTACCGCACATGTAACGTTAGATTTTTACAACAAACTCTACTGTGATTTTTTTCAACAGATTATACTATGATATTTTTATCGTACTCCTATGACTTTTTTCCAACTATAATTTTTTAATTTTTATCATAGTACACTATGACATTTTTATGATAGTATGAAATGACATTTTTCATACTAAAACGTGTAATTTTTTCTTACCATACTAAGAAATTTTTCCATACTATACTATGATATTTTTATCTTACTATACTATGATTTTTTTTTCCAAACTAAAATTTGAAATTTTTATCATAGTATACTATGACATTTTTATCATACTATACTATGACATTTTTATCATAGTATACTGTGACATTTTTATCATACTATACTCGGATATTTTCAACATTCTCTACTTTGAATTTTCTTTCAACTAAAATTCTAAACCTTTCTCATAGTGTACCACGGCATTTTTATGGTACTATGATATGACATTTTTTCATACTTAAATGTGAAATTTTTATCATACTGTACTATGACATTTTTATCATACTACACTATGATATTTTTATCATACTATAGTATGATCTTTTTATCATGCTATACTATGACACTTTTATCATACTATATCAGCCAAATAAGAATCAACCTGCTGTAACTGCCTTTATACTTCTGTCATCAGCTACAAAGAGAGGCTGTTAAAATAAAGATAAAGTACCTGCTAGCTTAGATTCAAGTAGAGATGCTGAGAACAAAAGGAGAGAGACAGAGGAAATAAACTAGAAGTAGATGGTCAAGCAAAGAGAGAAAGCTCTGCTGATGCCTTCACCCACTAAGCCATCAAAAGCCAGTCTCAAGGGTCGTCTTATACACACAAACACACACACACTTGGATACCCTCCATAATCTCACCACAGTCTCTCCCAGCAGGGAAACCTTTTAGGCAAGGTCACAGAGAGGCTAAGAGGGGAACATGTTAAAGTCAGCGACACGGAAATGATGTTCTCAGTGCAGGGCTTTCTTCAGCAAGACTCTCAGTCTTACTGCTGGTTTAAGTGAACTGTGTGTGTGTGTGTCTTTGTATGTGTATCTATGTATTTGGATTCATGTATTAGATACTGAATCAACATCCTCCGTGCTATGTTTTATGAGCCTGAACAACTGCTGTTTGGTGGTAATCGTGGAGCTGACAGGAAGAAGCCACACACTGAGCATTCATTAGTGAGCAGTAAACCTCAGTTTCTCTCAGATGTGTCACACAAAACAACACTGCTGACTCCGCAGAGAAAACCGAGGGAAAAAAATGTTTATACGACTGGATTGGTGTGAAACATCTCAAGTGATACTGTACATGTGTATGTGTAAAAATAAGACATCATTTGTGTGAATTTGCATTCAATTCATCCATGTCTGTGTTAATTCATTAGAATAATTATCAATATTTGTTTAATATTTTTTTGGACATTCAGATGAATTGCCAAAGTTGATTGATCTGATCCGACACTCACTCATGTGTCTGTTTGTGTGATATGCAGTGTTTTGCTTTTTGAAGTATGGAAAGACTTTTGGGGGGAGTCTCCATGGGAAATAACACCCCCCTTCTTTCTCTCTTTCTTCACTCTTCTGCTCTCCCTCCCTGTGCCGCCCTTCTCTGCTCTCCTCATTTCCTTGAGGTACGGTAGCCAATGGCATCTTCTCTTACTGCTGTGTGCCGACCAATCATCTCCCTTCTTTTCCTCTCGTGCTTGCAACTTCACCCTGCCCTCTCCTCCTTTATCCCCGCAGTGCAATGACCGGCTGTTTGTGACGCATGCAGCACATCATGCTAGTTTGCACCCTTGCAAGGTGGTGAATCCAGGACTCTACTAGTTGCTTAAGTTTGTCAGTTTTGTTGTAACATCAACATAAGAACAGGAAAAACAGGCAACATGAGAGATTGATTAGATACATTTGATCGTGTATATTTTGCACAACTTTAACATCTTGAGTATCAAACATTTTGTGAAGTGTGGAGAATCAACTATACTACACACGCTTTTATTTTGAAGGTTAAGTAAATTCAAGCTAAACTCCACAGCATTTTTAATGTTTACTTATACCGTTCTTGACTGTATGTGAATTTAAAGAAGGGGTAGATGACTTAAGAGAAAAATAAAATAAAGTCTAAACTCAAAACGTCAAAGGATCTCCTCCCAAATACCTAAACATGCTCTGATCCATCCAATTAGTTAATTTCACCTCAGTTCTAATGATCTGATTGGGTGGACAGATGTTCTATCAGAGCATTTTACTTCCAATAACTATGAACATTACTCCCAAAATTAATAGACTTTTTCCCTTTGACAGCTGTCTTCTTGTGACTTTGTGTTCAGGATGAGAAACGTGTGCATTGCTATCCTTTATTATGACGGTGCCCCGGCTCATAAGTCGTACAAGCCTCAATATTCTAACTGTGGTCATTTACAGCTCCCTGATTATTAAGCAGCTACACAGACTATAGACAGAGGTGATTAGGAGAGAGATGGGGCCATAATCCAAGTTTAAAAACACATCTGATGGCTCATTAGCAAACATTACAGCACAGTTAACATCAATATTAGGCACTCCCTATTTATTATTAAAGCCCCTGTAAGGAGTTTTTGAACAGTGATGCATCTCTTCGATGTGCAAAAGCGAATGAGACCATCAGTGAGAAGATTGACAATGTTTATACCATTATTTTTAATCCCCATAAATGCTGTGTGAAGAAACATTATCAGCAAATAGTCACGATGAATAATAATTTTCACTGCTAAAACACATCAGGAGAAATCAGCATCAATGTAAGCGTTACCACTTTGTCCACAGGGGGCGCCAAAGTCAACACAACAGAAAATTCCTCAAGGTTTCAAAAAATATTTGATACAGGGAAAGAGAAATGTTTACACAAGCAACTTGATCATTTTGAAGGCTGTTTATGTTAGTTTAGGCTGCTGAAGCCCACATTCGCCCACAGAGCTGTAATTTAGTCATCTTTATAAAGGTTTAAAATTCATTAAAACTAAACCTCTCTGATCATCAAATTGCAGGACAGAACTGGCTGCTGTGTCAAAAATCATGTTGAAAGATTTTGTTGGACATTTTGTATTTTCTAGTCTGACCCATGGTGAAGGTGGGCTTTGAGACCCATACGGCAGCCTGTCCTTGTGTAGCTCTAAGTCTTAAGCCTTCACATGGGAGCCATAATAGCGGCTCTTAAGTCCATTTTATATGCTGCTTATGGAAGATCCTAATTAAAAGCTATCAATCTGTCAAAAGTGGATATGGACATTTAGACTCTGTGCTAGCTGAACTCTTTGCTTTTATAACACTGATATATGTCCACTAAAGGATAAGGTCACGTTTTCAAGTGTGTCTTGAAACTGTACCTGCTTCATCATATGTACATTGAAAATGAAACATGTTTGCCGTGTTTGTTTCACCTCTCTCTCTCAAATTCAACAATGAAGTCTCAGCGACTATTTCCTCTGTTCATAATTGGACAAAAAAAAGTCCATATAAAACTTAAGAAGTTAGTTAAACAAAGTTGGTTTCTCCATTTGGGGATGTGTTTTTGCAGAAGAGAAACAGAGGAGATCTCTTGAACGGGGCCCGGCTGCCATAGAAAATGATCTTCTTGTAGTTACAGTCAATAAGATAAAGGATCACAGGGACTGTTGACTCTCTCTTTCTCTCTCTCTCAATGTACATATGGGCATGAGAGTGTAAGAAACTATCCTTTAAGGGTATTGTAGGTTTTGTAGGTGTTGCTTGTTTCCTCCACACACAGCTTTTACATACTGTGATATTCGCCAATCCATTATTTATGATTCTGCTTTGGTCATGAGGTAAACGAACTGATAGCTAACCCATTTCAATGCATCATCCAGCCTCGGTGTGCTCCATTTGCTTCTGCTTGGCGCATTTCAGAACAACAGCCAGTTTGAAGGGCCTGGACTCAGCCCCTTGCTACTCCCCTCTGAATGCTCCCATCTTGTTCTCAAGCTAATATCTTGCTGTCCCATATCATGTCCAGAGCCAATAGGAAGCATGTCGTCCATGGAGGTGAACGTGGACATGCTGGAGCAGATGGATCTAATGGATATGTCCGACCATGAAGCCCTGGATGTGTTTCTGCACTCTGGTGGAGAGGATAACAGTGCTGCCTCTCCAGTTGCAGGTATGCGACTATAAACACAAAATAGCACCAAAATACTTATAAATACAACAAATCCATGTCAGTTTCTGCAACACTTTACTGCAAACTTTTTCTCTGCATCACACGTAATAATTTACCCGTGTAGAAATCGTGTTCAGGAAGATTGACAGGACCGGCGTTTAGGCAGGATGCATCAACACCATCTGTCCACATCTGCTCTGAAAATTCTTGTGACAGGGAACAACCTACAGCGTCAAACTGACAGCTCATCCTCATCTAAAAATAAATTCATGGCAATAATTTAGCTTCATTTTATATGTCTGTAGGAGGCTGAGCTCCAAGGACAAAGTTAGTTTGAAAACGACTCATGAAGTCATCCCAGCAAGCCGAGCAGAGCCCTCATTTTTGAGCAGAAGATGACTAAATCATCAGTCTTTCCGGGGGGTCATAATGTCAAGGCTGTCACGAATAACACATGATTTTATGTGATGTCTATTTCTGGTTCACAGAGTGACGTTTGAGGCCTGTCAATTATATATTAACAAAATATATATCTTACTGCTGTGACGAGGCTTTTAAAAATGGGTGTAAACGGGGTCACTCAGACTCTACTGGACACTCACGGTACTGCAGTTTTTTGCACAGCTACATACACAGACCTGGTTTTTTAACATGAGGCGTTACCACTTTGTTAGCACAGATCTTAACCTGACAGGTATATTGTGGGATAACAATCCAAAAAAGAAAAAGCCTGCCCATTTCTTCAATTTAACAGAAAATATAAAAATCATAATGTTTAAAGGTGGGATCGGCAGAATCTGAGGAAGTGCCAGTTTTTGGGAGAAATCTTGAATGTAAACACTACACCTCCCAACCAGGTTTCCCCTCAGCTCCTCCTCTCCCCTCCCTCTCTGCTCAGACTACCAGCAAACACAATGTTTGCAGGACTTCTAAAACTAGCATAAAGTGACATAGTCCAGGACCCGAGGTCAACGGTTTAGCGGTGCTACAACATGCAGCAGGTCCAGTTGACGAGAAACACTTCTTTTACACTTGGCTAACTTTGTTTAAGTGGTTTACCTGTCCAGCAGAAAGGTTACAGGGTTCGTCAGATCCTGAAGCATCCCCCATGTTTATGCTAGCTTCATGTTGACCCAGCTTCTTAGCTCTTGTCCGGTCTACCTCCTTTTTAAGCGCCCGTTATTCCGCCAGAGTCTCCAGTATTTACTTTGTTTTCTTGCTTGTGTTGGCAGTCGTGGCTAAAGGAGGATTCAGATAATTTTCTGTACTTTCTGGTTGGTTTCTACTGTCTGATATTGTAGCACGCCAACTTTGTTTGGGCTCATGAATGACACTAGGGAGCAGCGTCTGCCTGACAACCAATCAGGATGGGGAAGGCTAGGAATGGCTTTGTTTACAATCAGAAAGAGCGGAGTGCTTTAAAATGTTAAAATGTTGACTACACAGACATAACAAAGCACAGCAATATCGTCATATTACCAAATGTCATAAATGACTAATAGCTACTGACTGATATTAAAAGCTTTTATATATACACCGCAAAAAAAGATGCTTCTTAAACAGATTCCTGCCTACCCCACCTTTAAATTGTTTGCTTTTATTTCTAAGAACAGGGTTGATTAAAGGGACTCTTCCTCATTCTAGGTCCAGATGTGGAATCCTTCACCACAGAGATCAGTCTCCAGGTCCCGACCCAAGCGGAGCTCCGCCACAAGCTTTCCTCCCTCTCCTCCACCTGCACCGATTCAGCCAGCCAGGACACAGAGGCTGGGGAGGAGGACGACGAGGAAGAGGAGGAGGAGACTGAACAGGGGGGAGGAGTGGTAGGAGTAGGAGGAAGGAGGAGAAGGCCCCCTGTGGTGGTGACGCTGGATGATGAAGAGGTGCACGCTGATACAGCGCTGGTAGACAAGGCGGAGCAGGATGAGCAGAACAGCAAAGACTGTGGGGAGAGCAGGCCGAAGGTTTGAGGGAACGAGGACTTAACACAAATACACACACAATCACAAACACACACAGAGTTGCAAAATCAAACTGATTAAGAACAACATTTGCTCCGTTTCGAAACATCTGAACGATAATACACTGAGGTTGCACTAACTGCCAAATGACTTTGCCTTAAAGCCCACAGATGTGAGTTTTTAATGCTAATCAAATCCTGTGAAACAGTTTTGTTTCCTTTAGCATTTGAGCACCGAACGGCTGAACATGCACAAGAATAGCTTGACACCATTCAGATTTATTCTGCGTGACGGCGGTGAAACATACTCTGAAACCGTCTTTATGTCTCACTGCAGATCTTTGCTTTCACGCACCATGCTAACAATTTAGCTAACACCATGCTGACAGACTGCAGCTGTAAAGCATTCGTTTTTTTCTGACAGGCTTTACCAGTCTTGTCAGGTTTATGATGCCTGTGTATTATAAGCTTTCATTCACACCTCTGCAGAGGTTTTAAACATGAGGTATACAGTAATAACCACCTTTCTTGCTTTTGTGGATCATACAGTGGCATCAGTGCTAATTTCAGTGTGTTACGTAACTAGCTAAAACTCCTCACGGGAGCTTTAAAGCACTAAAATGTAGAATTTTTGGTGCTGTGTAGCTTTAAACAATATTAAAATCTTGGCTAATTATGCCATGAATGGAAATGTTTTTAAAATAATTTGTGATTTCGATTCATTAAATTGTTCTAAATTGTTAGCACAAAATGTTAGCACATGGATGCATTTTTGGTAATTTATCGAAAAGCTGAACCCCAAAAGCATGAGTGTTTTTAAGCTAATTACAATCTGCAGTATTTTCAATGTGAACTACCTATAAGAAAAAAAAAAACAGTTTTTCTATTGGCTTTGATAAACATGAGGTAATAACTGGCAGTCAGCTGGCAGTGGGTTTGACACCATGAAGCCTGAAGTGTTTCATTCAGATAGGAGGAGATCATTGATCATCATTGAGGTTGATGAGGGTGAAAACATTAAAACATATGCATACATACAGACTGTGCACTGAGAACATGCAGACGTCACAGTGAGGTGCAAACATCATGTGCGTGAGTGTGTTTACATGTACTGTAAATCAACTTGAGTCTTTCCAGGAGTTATTTCACTGCAGCAGGAAGGCAGTTGTACCTTCCTGTTTCAATGAACCTCTACACGCTCCTCATATGTCCATGTCTTGCAGGAAACTGTTTTTAGTGTGCTGGGAAGTTGTTACAGTGTAACAGGAAGACACACAGTGGGTGCCTGGAAGGTACCATCATATTTAAGTAAACTGTGGAAGTGAATCATAGATGAATGAGAGCCAATCACTGAACATTGTAAATAATAAGCCAAAGAGATTTCAGAGACAGGGAAATAGAGCGACCAAAGACTGTATGTACAGTCAGTGGGTGCCACACACGCCTGTTTTGCACCTGTAACTTGGGTTTACCTGATAACATATCCATTAGCGGGTAAAACTCTACACTACTAACATAGAGGGTTGCTTCTCTTGTTGCTGGCTGTGACTATCATCAGTACCAATATCGTTATCAATATTTATCAAGGTTGACTAGAATTTAAGTTGTTGACAGAAACTGCATTCAAACCTGCTGGAGCACTAAGGCGCTGTAGAGGAAAACTGTTTTTTTTAATGTTGTTTGTAGACGTTGTAGGAGGAATACTGAGCTGCATTTTCTTTCAAAATCTGTGAGCATTGATACTTCATCACACATCTACTGGCCACAAAACCTTGTTTTATTTTATTCCTCGTGACTTTTATTTTGAAGTTGAGGATTAACCCACCTTCCTGTGACACTGTAACTTCCTAAAGCACTGAAACCATTGCAGGAAAAGTTATAAAACACCAGTGTGAATGAGTGGGTTCTATTAAAAGCTCCTGTGAGGATTTTTTGGTTTGTGTCAATTTCAGCCCCTTCTGTAGCCAAAAACAATCTTTACTCATCTTGTCCTTACATACTTCACTAGTGTCTTCTGACAAAAATCACTTTTAACCTTTTGTGAATATTTTACACAAAAACCGTATGAACTGGGCAGTTCTTTCTTTAGCTGCTCGTCTGTACCTACTCCCCTTTGCATCAGTCGTCAATCTTGTGGCTAAAGAGCTTATTTGCTTTTGCAGATCAGTCTATGAACTCCTCACAAGAGCTTTAAGATGTGTGCGAATATTTAGATGTTGTCATCCTCATCAGCCTCCCAGAAATATCACTAACTTTCACACACAAACATACAAACACAAACACACACACACACACACACACACAGGAAAGTTACCCATTGCCATTCCTTTGACCAATAATATTTGGGTGAACTTCTCCTTCTGAGCGAGGACCAAATCTCTGTTAAGACTGTGTGCTATGCACTGGAGGAGAGAAGGTTGAACTGTATCCACATTCTTTTTGTACAGAATTGTTGACGTTCGTGCGATGTGACAGCATTACTCCTCCCTTCCTTTCTTTCCTCCTGCCTACAGTTTCTTGTTGGTAATAAATGTTTTCCCCTGCATTGTTTTTTTTTTTTTCCATCTTGAGAACTTCAGGAATAAGCTTAGAGTATGAAATGTGAGCAGGATTTAGGGTTCAAGCATGTTTAACAGTCCCTGTGAGCTCGCTCTGATTTACAGTCCTGCTGCTTGAGCTCTTTAACAAATGGGAAACTGACACGAATGAGTGAGTGGATGCGTACAGAGTGTTCTGTAAAAGAGGAATGGAGATTCAAACGCAGGGGTTTTCTCTTGGGGGAGAATATTATACCATGTATATATTCATTAATACAGTTAAATGTTTTTTAACTGGAAAATAAGGCAAAGCAATACAAGTGTTATACTGAGAGTAAAAGTCATTTGAAGGCTGAGAGTGGACGTGTGTTCTTTGTGGAGAGTAAATAACTGTTGTCATTCAGTGCACTTTAATCAAGGTTGAGAAGAACTGCAGGGTCCATCAGTTCACAGACACAGCGTGATGAATGAAAAGACTGATTAGCTCTGTATGAAATAAGAGGATTGAGAGAATGTCACAGTACAGACATTTTTCATGGTTTTACAATCTTTACATTTTCACGTCGGAGAAAAAAGCTGACTATTTCCTCATTTCCTCGTAATATTTCCTCTCTAATAATGTTGAAAGTGTAGGTTTCCTTTTCTGGAGATGGCTTTAGATCTTTAGCCTGATCTAAGATGCCAGAGGATACATGTTTGGACCTTAAAGAGATTAAAGTATCAGAAGATAACTTATTTTCAAGTTGAAAGGTTCATGAATGAGTTGCAGCTCAATGTTGAAGAACGAGACCTGGACAGGGTGATGCACAACTTGTCTATTCACCATAACTTACACTGCATAGCATTCACTGAATTGAACACACAACAGCAGACTTTTGGGGACTTTTGGGGACCGCATGATAGCACTACACAGTAGTCTCAGGAGCCACGTGCTCAACCAAAACGCCACTCTATAGTCACAAATAATGCTCAGAACAGCACCTAACTTCAACAGTACATGTAGGGTCCCAGTCACAGCACTACCCACTTTGCCTAATTTCTTTAGCAAAGACTGTAGCGGGGTGACGCAGCTCAAGGGAGAACATTTATGACCATTTCTTCATGGGAATGCAATCAGACCGAGACACTAAGGCAGAAGAACTACCGCATCTGCAGTACAAAATGATTAATATGATGATTATTACTTCAAGGAAATGATCATAAATGTTCTTCCTTGAGCTTCGTCACCCCGCTGCAGTCGATGGACTCGCCCATAGGTCTCTCTACGAACAAGCGGCTGCTGGAAGACTGAGTAAGTTTTGTTTTGTCTCTTTGCTAAAGAAATTAGGCAAAGTTAAAAAGATATTTGATGGCTATAAAGTAGCGTTTTGGTTGAGCTCTTGGCTCCTGAGACCTGTGTATTGCTATCGTGTGGTCGTTACTAAAGTTGGTATTATGAGAGGTGTGTGGTCGGCAACATTCATCTCTCGACGGGGTGTCTAACTTGGTGTTACTGTGTGTTTGACCCTAAATTAATTTTACACCAGAATATCCCTTTAACAAATGCTCTGGCTGAGATGTGAATTTTTATAGTATGTTTCAGTACAACCCAATAATGTTCAAAATCATGAAGAGGTAAAAATCTCAGTCTCTCTTTGGTCCTGCTGAAGGTTTGCACACAGAGACACAAACAGGCTGTGAAAAAGTGACAGTGAATTGTCAGTAAGTTTTTATTAAACCTCAGGTACAAACTGCAAAAGTAAAAAACTGTCAATATAACCAACATGAGACTCTCTTTCTGAGTGGAGGGAAAGGCCGAGATGCGGCACGAATAAATTAAGTCACCAGAGACCCCACTGTGAGCAAGTAGTTTATACTGTAGAAAAATGGAAGAAACAAACGACAAGAAAAGAGAACTGTAAAACAAAAAAAACAATCCCATCAGAATAAAATATGTCGTAAGGCCATAAAAACTTGACAACCACTTTTTTAAATGTTGAAATCACCCGACTTGGTATTTCATTAAATAGTCCTAAAACAGTTCAGTCTTCTGCGAGGGACGACAACCAACAAACTGGATTATAGGATTTTTCCTTGACAGTCACCACTGGCAAGCTCAGTGCAACATGAGTAGCTACTACATTTTTGTTGAATTTTCAGTAATGAAAATGTAAAAACCCACTTTTTTTTGTGAACATCTCTTTTTTTCCCTTTTCTTTAAAAAAGTAAAGCTAAACAAACAAAACTAGGTTGGGGGGGGGGCAGTCTTCGGCTACTCGATATCTTCTTTCTTAGTGATATAAGCAGCACTTAAATTTTTTATACACGTTTACCAGAGCGACCCTGTAAGCGTCAAACTCACATGGATGAAGAAAGGGAAATGTAAGGCTTTTTCTTCATCAAGCACTCTCTCTCTCTCTCTCTCTTTCCTCTGGAACTTTTTCTCTCTCTCTCTCTCTCTCTCTCTTTATTCCTTTCCTCTCTTTCGTCCTTATCCCCAGAAAAAGGCTCAAGTATTTAAAGAAATTTACAGGATTATGTACAAAAAAGGTGATGTTTTGTTTGTGTTGGACTTTTTCCTCTCTCTAAAAAAAAAAAAAAAAAAAAAAAATCACTCATATATCTGAAAATGGGAAAAAATGCAAAAGCCAAAAAAAAAAAAAAAAAAAGACAATTTTTTAAAAAAGCAACAAAACTTGGATTTGATATTTTTCACATTTTACACTCTCTGACTAGTGGCTCTACTTGAGATAACACATCAGATCAACAAAAGTAAAAAACACAAAATAATAATAATAATATAATATAATAATTAATGTTTACTGGTACAGATGAAACAAGAGGACTGGAAGAATGGAATGTTAACACGATTGCACATCTAGAACCAGAAAAGCCCGACAGCCTTTCCGCCCTGTGGGGTGGGAGTGCATGCGCTAGCTGTTAGCCGCTAGCAGTCGCTTACCCCCAAGATTTTTAATTTTTGTCTTGTTATACAGTAATTATAACCAACAGCACCAATAAAATGGATCTCCTCGCTAAGTATCAGGCACGGTTCTCACTCGCTAGCGAAGGAGGGATCCCTCCATACTAACGGGGGACTGAGGTGAGCGGCTGTCGCTCTTGCCGCCTCTCACATCCGCCGACAAACAGAAACATCCACAATGACAATAAAATAAAATACACAGAAGACTTCTTGCAAAAAACTATTAAAAAACAAAGCTAAAATTCAAAATAGAACTTGGAAAAACATAGTCAACCAACAATTAACCAACATCGTCTGTCTTTCAAGTTTATACCTCGCATCGCCGACCCCCCTTTTTTCAAACAGAAAATGCAGTAGCTGCATCAAGAAAGAATCAAATCAATTTCAAAAAGGACTCCTCTTCCTCAAAGCGAGGACAGAGGGAAACTTTGGGTAACTACTTGATGTCACTTTCATTTAAGAAAAACAAGGGAGGGGGAAAAAAAAAAGGCCGCCTTTTCATTTGTCCCGTGTTCACAACTGAGTGACGCGTGATCAGGAGGGGGAGGGGTTCAGTCTCAGGGACCAGGGAAGAGTGATGCAACAAGAAGGTAACAAGTGTAACCCATTTCAGTGTAAGGAGGATGAAGGTGGAGGTAAAGGGTATCACTGGGCCCATCAAGTCTTCTTGTGAACGTTAATGCTTGTAGAGTGGTAAAAGACGACTTAAAGGGGGACGGGGCGATTTTAAAATCATCCAGAATAAAAACAAATTCTGCTTTCACACTAGTGCAAAAAAGACATCTTGCTTTTCTTTTTTTTCCTTTTCTCTTTTTATAAACAAGCCTGTCGTACTAAGGGAGAAGGTGATGAATTTTTGGAGAGGGGCTGAGGTTAGGTGAGGGGATTTTCAAAGCTCAAAAACAATCTCAAACACTGGGGGGTGGAGGAGGGATGATAGTGATTTTTTTTTTATGTCAAAAATAAAAACTGGAGTTTGTTTTGGAGGGATAATGGAGGGTTGGAGGCAGGATGTGGCCAAGAAAATGTCGAGGCGTCCCCCTCTCAGGACACGGCAGCGGCCTTGGGGATGTGGCTGGAGGACAGGCGAGCCAGGGACACCTCCACGGCGTTGCGCTTTCTTTGACCTCGCTTTGCTGGGGACGCTTTGGCGGGGCTCAGGTTGAGGCAGGGGTCCCCTCCTCCTGCGCTGACGACAACTGCACCGTTACCAACACCGCTGCCTCCGTTCTTTAACATGGCCCGACCGCACACCTGGTTCACCAAACTGTTGATTTGCTCCTGAATAAAGGAATAAAAAGTGATGAGATACCGAACCTTTCACTTACATCTCCTTGTTTTCTATTTATACTCAACATGAATCATGTCATTGTCAAAAACACACACAGCCATGCTGACTTTTCCCTGTCATGTATCTGTGTAAAGCTAGCTGATGTCGCCCCCTTCTGTAGAAATAGAGAACTGCAACCAAACTGAGAGAAATAGCACCGTCTCACCTCATCGTATCGGTACATCATCTTAAGGCCTCTGCAGGATTTGTGCTTCTCCACATAGCGCAGCGCACACTCCAGACAGAAGACGACATTTTCAGTCTCCTGGACCACCTGAACGCACACAAACAGAGACAGAGATCACTGTAGAGACTAGTTCTCAAGAGCCATAAATCACACAAAACAACCCAAACAGATATTTATATGGTAGTGTGTGTGCATGATGGAGGGAAATTAATGAAATGCATCTGAAACGGTATGACAGCATTTCAGAAATAAAACCCTGTCCTGTTCAGACTCTGGTGTCCGGCTCTCACCATGGACAGGTAGCAGAGATGCTGACAAATCTGGCAGCGTCTCTCCGAGGACTCCAGTGCCAGCCATTTCCCGCGGGGTTTCTTGCGTCCCTCTCCGGGCCCTAGGCCGCCATCATGGGTGCCGTAGCGGGCGGAGGACAGCAAGCCTGCATTGTAAAGTTCCTGCCGTTGGTGCATCTCTATGTTCCTGTTGGATAAGAGATAAATACTCATTGAGATTTCACTTTTTTTAACCGTAACAATGTGAATATGTGTGTAATTGGGATCTCTGCTGCTTCCTACCTGAGGTCTTTGAGAAGGGCGGAGATGGTGGTGAGGAGAAGGCCGTTGTCTCTCTTGGATTCAGCTGTGGCGATCTGGTACAGTAGCTTCTCCATAGAGAAGGGTTTGGCTATACGACGAAACTTCAGGTCCTGCAGACAAATCCAGATTATAATCGACATTAGACTATTTACACACGCATCTTTGAAAGACTTCAGTCGAGGCAGATTCCCCTAAAGAGCAGTCACTCATAAAACCCGGTCCACAAATATCCCTTTATCAAAGCAGGGCTGTTTGCAGAGTCTGTGTGCACACAGATTGATGTTTCTTTTTCACCATCTCTATGAGGATGTCTCCGGCCGTGCACTACGATAAAGTGAATTATCTGAATGTCAAATTACCCTTGAGAGCTATTTTTCTGTCTTCATCTGCTGCTACTGCTGACGTTCTTCCATTACCATAATGCCCATAAAAACAGGAAAGAGAATTTTCTATTCCTCTATTACGGCTATAATGAGGTCCAATAGTTTGAAGACTTACTCAGGATTTGAAAAAACAGCTAAATACACACCCCAGGGAGACTTCAAGCTGCATTACAGCTGATAAGAGCTTCTAAATTCATTACTTTATTTCACTTCTGATCAACTGTGAATAAATCAGAGCTTTTACTGCCACTGTCCACAGGGGGCCAGTGTTGAGTGGCATTAAAGACACATGATATCTGTGTCATGATGATCTTTTTTATATGAATCATCTCTACTCCTTACTTCTACATATACGTCATGTATATTTAGGTGTTTGCTGTGGATACTTTGACACGCTGAGGTTCACATGCTGACCTTTGCAGCCTGGTAGCCCAGGTTCATCCAGTGCGGTGTGGCAAAGTGCACCGTCTCTGACACGCTGTAGCCGCAGCACACTTTAGAGACAAAGGCACCGGGGTAGCAGACCACAAACTGGCCGCTTCGCTGGACCGTGCGGTGAACCTTGATGCCCTCGCGGCACAGCACCTCCGGCGAGATCTGGAACAATGAGAAATGAAGGAAAATTAAGTATTAGACTTCAACTGGAAACACTTCCTGCTAGCGTGCAATCAAAACGCAACGAAGCAGATTGAGTCGTGCAACTACAAAACACCGACCATGATGTTCTTCTCTAACATTTCCAGCCCTGGGGTGCCATTGGCCTGAAGCAGTGTATGGACCACCTTGTCCAGCTTAGCCTTCTCCTCAGCAGGGACAGAATACCTGCAGCAGACACACAACCACAGACCACTCAATACAACATCACCCAATCCTAAACATGAATAACATCAAGGTTCAACTTAACCAGTCTGTACTCACCAAATGCAATCAGCACCAGTGTGTAAATAATCAATATATGGAAGGCGATTTTGGTCTCGAGACCAGCATGAGGTAGAAAAGACCATGCCAATGTTTAGCCAGGGAATGGTCACCCCTGCAGAGACACGAGGGATTAAAGGGAGAGGAAGACGAGAGCGCAAGTTAATACTGCAAAAAGTAAGAGGAGAGGCAGCTAGAAATCCTTTTTGGAGGAATTCAGCGCTCAACTCATCCATGTTTTGGTAAATTTCTTGTCCTTACCAGGCACAGCACCCAAATGTCTCAGAATGGATCCAGAGTTGTTAGGGAGGACAGTGAGGTTCCATCCATGTCTAAGGAAGAGAAAAGAGGAAATGGTTGTTTATAGTTTTATTCAAGGGATACCGTTTAAAAACAATCGAGTGGTTTTTGGGCTACGAACTTTGAAAATGGCTCTGATTTTCCTGTGGGGAAACCACTGCCATGTGTACTGGTGTCCACCTTCCCACAATGCACTGCCACATGGCTGTCTCTCTGCTCCACGATCCTCCAATACTCTTGCTGAAAAATTAAAAAAGAAGGGAAACAGATGAAGCAGAACACAACATAAATACTGCTAATTTAGGTCCATGACTTAGCTTTGCATGAACACGACTGAATCTTTCAATACAGCAATTTATAGTAAAAGATAAAATACATTATATATGCTAAGGTTCTGGATCCACTTTATGTTTGTTTGCTTTTTACACAAGATGTAAGCACACCAACCTCGACCTCAGCAGCCCCGGGCTCCTTGTTAAAGCACATGGTCATGGTGTTGCGGGCTATCCTGAAGAAGTTAGTCAAAGACACCGATTTCCCCTGAAAAGATAAGATCAGATAAATCATTTTGAGTCACGGCGCGCTCAAAAGTTCTGAAACAAAGGAAAACACTCAGCACTTTTTACGCTTTAAGGTCATGAAAAAATCATGAAGACTTTGAACCAAAGCTGGAGTCAAACAGCGAAGAAAATATCACCACACTTCTGAGGAGAGTTTTCCTCTAATCCACAGTCACACAAAGAAGCGAGCTGCATGGATCTATAAGTCTCTCCCCTACACACCCAGTATACATTTCCCCTGGACTTGACCCCCTCTCTTATGGACAGTCCTGCTACAGCGAAGCTTTGAAGGTTACCATAAATCTGCAGCACCCTGCTGAAAGCAGACCTCGCAGATTCTTCATCCTCACGGCGACAGGTTGTCTTTTATTTTACCTTCTGGGGTTTTCGAATGTGACTGACCCCTTTAACGTGCATCATTTTACAACCCTGTAGCTATTGTAATAATAGAAATTGTAATAATACAGTACAGGCGTGACCTAGTAAGGGCTGTCAAGGTGCTGTGTATGAGAGTCAGCAGCAGCAGCACTTATCTGGCATTTCCCCGCTGTAATTAGAGTTAATTACACCCTTGACATGCACTTTGTTCTCCTGAAAAAAAGTGAAATAGAACCTCCTTCTTGGGGGCCACTCTTGATGAAAAATGCATACAAATCTGAGCAGTGCAGGAAAAAAGTCATGGGTCATATTTGGACAAACCCTGTCCTGTCAGGATGGTGACAGCCATTCACATGTCAAAGTCCTGAATGGTGCTTCTATAATTCAGAGGACGACGGACCGTACCGGGTCAAGTCTGCTGACAATATCACAGCTCCTACCAGGGATTTGGTTACTTGGAGGAGCTGGGAGGGAAGGAAATCAAATAGGATCCACATTCGCCAGAGTGCGGTGTGACAGTGTGAGTTAGAGAGAGAGAGAGCCTGAGAATGGAATGAAGTTATCTTAATTACAGGAATAATTACTGCCTCTCCCATTCAAGATACTGTGCAATGACATAAAAATGTGCACAAAAGCTCTTTGCAAAAATCACTGAGCGCTGAAACTAAGAGCACAATTAAATAGGTGCACCATGTTAGGCAGAGAATAGCTCTGGAAGAATTATTTTTAGGGCCTCAACTGAGTCATGTCTCCTGTCTGGGTATGTTTCCTCCTCAAATAAAGACATGAACAAAGAAATGCCAGCGTTGCATTGACGCACATTATTAGAGGAAGATGATGAGTAATGACAGAGAAAGAGAGAGAGAGAGAGAGGGAGAGACGGTGAAGAGACTGCTGTAGACAGGGCCAAATAGCTACGAGCAAGGGCATGTGCAGAAGGAGAGAAACCATGCGGAGAGGGTTCGGGTTAAAGGAGCTGAAAGCTGGAGAGGGCGGGGTTTAAAGGGGGCGTGTTAGGGATTGAGGGGACGGGCTGGTTTTGGGGGGCTGCCTTCTCTCTGACCTACATTTCAGCCGAGCCAGAATCAACACAGCTGCCAGCAGGCTGAAGATGTGGGAATCCATCTGATGTGTGCGAGCGCTTGCACACACAGGCAAGGCTGCTGACCACCTTAATCGCGCTCACACTCGCAGAGCTGCACTTAAGTCTTTAACAAATACACAAAATCACTAATACTTGACAGTTCAGCTTCACCATATATTCTCATCTCCTGCTCCTCTGACTGTTTTCACAAACTCTGACAGTCTGATAGTGTTAGCGAGCGCTGTTTCAGAGTTTCTACAGGAGATAACACCTTTTAGTTCACACCAGAGAAACACAAGAGAAGCACGGTTGCTGTAGTGTGTTGTGACAATTCATAGCTCAGCTTAGCTTCTTTAAAAAGGTGAATATTTCATCACATAAGAGCTGGCACAGTGATACTGAAGACACTCCAGTCATTAAAGGTGGTACTCCAGAAGAGTTTTACGCTGTTTGCACCGAATCTGTGATGAAAGTTCAGTTCAGGTTGTTGTGAAATGTCAGACATCTTCCGGAGTAGTAATGAAGCATTTAAATTTGCAGGGGCTGACAGCAAGCTTTAAAAGATCTGATGTTGGCGTAGAAACAAGATAACAAACTGTAAACAGACAACAAGCGGAGAGTATCTGGTGAATTCAGATCAGCCTCTTCAGAAACAGAAGAAGAGAAGCTGTCGTGTCTCTTGTCTGTACGTTTTGAGCTCCTTCTTACCTTGTAAATACATTTGTGCAGGTCACTGAGAACTCCCTGGTCTTCCTCCTCCTGCTGCTCCTCACCGTGCTGCTTGTCCTCTTTGCCTTGTTTTTCCTGAGCGAAGAGCCGGCGCCGGCCCGCTTTGACCTGAGCCTCCAGCTCCTTCAGACGATGATAAACTCCATTGGTGCGGTGATTTCCTGTCGCCCCACCCCCTATCCCACCCGCCAACCCGTTCTTGGGCTCATAGCGCGGCAGCACGAGCGCACTCGGCGCTGAGGAGTCAGAGAGGCCTTCTAGAGGGCCCCGGCGTGACTCCAGGTTCTTTTTCTCCTGCAGCACCTCGGCCTGCAGCCGGAGGCGCTCCTCTGCGCTGAGCGAGTCATAGGAGAGGATGTACTGGAGGTACACCTCCTGCAGCTTGGCCAGCCGGTCCTGCGCTGACTTAGGGATACGCAAGAGGTCAGCTAGCTTGGTCCACTTCTTCAGGTCCATCACCTGCTGCATGCCACCCATGTCGTTGATGAGCTGGAAAAAACGTGACAGGTCCACTTCACAGCCACCTGCAAGAGAGAGCGAGAGAGAGTGAGGGAGAAGAAGAGTAAAGAAAGACTGGATCTGATGGTAACACTTTACATGACGACTATCTCTATAACACATTATAAATATATGTATAATGTGTTATAATCATGTTACAGCACTGTATAACTATAGTTATAAACACTCATAAAAAATCATAATGCTTTATAGCAATAATTATAACACATTATAAAACATTTTATCATGAATTACAAGGTCAGGTATTATAATGTGTTATGCTTATTGTAATAAAGCTTTATGATAATTAATGAGTGTTTATAATGATAGTTATACAAGTTTATAAGCAAATTATTACACATCATAAATATATGTATAATGCATTATTTATATGGGCATTATCAGTGAGTTGTTAACAGTTATAACACATTATAATACCTGACCTTGTATATCATGATAAAATGCTTTATAATGTGTTGTGATTGTTGCAATAAAGCCTTATGATCATTTATGAGTGTTTATAACTATAGTTATACAGTGCTATAAAGTGATTATAACGCATTATACATATATTTATGATGGGTTATAGAGATAGGCGTCAGGTAAAGTGTTACCGATCTGTTCAGTAAACAAACAAAGACTTAAAACTGTTCTCCTCTTCTTGATCCATCCAAATCGACCACATACTCACAGAGAAGCTGCTCGACTTCACAAATCTAAATTAATAACTAAAAAATTAAACCAAAGCCATCTCCGAGCAGCTGCTCCTTTGGCCTAACCCCGTTTCATCCGGGCCAGTTAATTTGATTTGAAACAGCCAATTGAGCTTTCACCTCTCAAAATGATCCGAACTTTCATTGTGCCAAATAGAGATACAAATTCTGTTAATGTCCGACTGATCTGCTGGGCACAGTAAAGGAAGTCATTTGGAACAGGGGCATCCTGGCTGGCTGGCTGACGCTGCTCCACTGTGGCTCACCTGCTGCCAGATCTCTCTGGCTAACAGCCGCACACCAACAGCACACACACACACTCACACAAACTCACACTGGACTGACCTGAATAAAGCTTCTTACAGGAGCGAAGAACAGCACAGCACACCGAAAGCATTAAATAAGCTTCAACTCACTCAAGTCAATGAAGTCACTTTGTGCAGATCATGCAGAGGACTCTCAAACGTAAACGTCCGGTTTTAAAACAAGGCTGTTTAAAGACTCGTAAAAGGCTGATGTCATTGTTTGAAATGAGAAGTGACGGGACAATCTGGGGGAAATATTGTTTTTGTTGCCCGCCAGGCCCCGTGCCAACTTGTTCCACATTGTTATTGTCATCTATAAACAGGATGATAAAATCGTACAGAGGGGCCACTAAAGCTTTCAGAGCATCGCAGATACCAGTGGGAATGGTGAGACTCGTGTCGCCTGGCTGCTTATGTCAGCACTTTTTACAGCTCAGTTACTTGTGAGTCACTTCACAAAGATAAAAAACTGCAGGATACCAAAATTGAAAAGACTTCTGACATACGTAAGGATAGTTCACGTGCTGAATATAGTTTAACGCTCTTTCTGAAAGGACTCATCCAGTTTTAGTTACTCAAGTTAATCTACTGTTAAGACGAAAACATACAGGATCTGTATTGCTCCGTAGAGCAGCATTTAGTATCACATACAGGATGCGTATTACAGTGTAGCAGCAGTGTAGTGCAGCCTCAATCATGAATTTTTTTTTTTGTAGGATGGTAGGGGAAGGTCCCGCCCTCCTTCGCCTCTGATTGGCCAGAAATGCTAGGCTCCGATTGGTTATTCCTAATGACTGTGAAACGTCATCGTCTGCCAGGTTAGGGTTAGGAGATTCAGAAGTGTGATAATGATCTCTAATGTTCTGTTCGATGTACAGAGCCGACAGCCCGTGTTTGGCTTGAGCATGTGATGACGTGTCCAGGTTTTCTAGCCAATCAGAGCCAAAGGAGGCGGGACTTTCCCCTACCTTCCTACAACAACAAAAAAAATCGCGCCCCGATCAGCTGGGCTCAGTTTTGAGGAAACAACATGCTCATAACAAGTTGTTTTTTTCCCTTCTGTGGTCTATTTCCTGCTAGTTTGGATATAATTCAGTGACCGTTGAATTTCTACTATATGTGAAAAAGTAACGTGATTTTACAGTTTTGTTTTTTGCGGGTTAACTTGTGTTTAATAAAGTAAACTAAGTTCCTTTATGCTGTGCTGTTACCTTCAGACAGAGTTAGCAGTTTAAAGTCCTGTTGGGGTCTACATGGATCAGGGACTGACCATCAGATTGTTCTGTGCTACTGATAAATCCAGAACCAGGAAGTATTTCTCATCTACATGAACTGATGCACAGTCAGGAGTATGCATATGGTGTTTTACTTTGAAATACTAGATGACATGCGTGGTTTTCGTGCTTGACTTCCTGTCTAAAACGATCTTCTCTGTGTGGATTGACGCGCATTGGAAATGTAGAGCAGAAAAAAAAGACTCGCCGAGTATCTTGAGCAGTGCTGCTCTCGATATGCTTCTGATACGATGCTGCAATAGATCCTGTAAGCGACGATGCTGCCACACTCCAAATACATATCCTGTATGTTTTAGCCTTTATGTTTTGTGTGCACTTTCATTTGAGCATATGTTTTTCTGCCTTTTCTGGCTTTCTTACCAATAACAGGTGGCTCGTCCATGGTAATGCCCTGAGATTTGAGGTGCTTCCGGATGCAGGCCAGCCGTTGCACATTGGGGCCCCAGCGCCGTCCCAGCATGTGGACCCTCTGCACCTGTGTAACAAAACGCATCTCCTCGCTCAGCTTGCACTCGGGCCGCCAGTCTAGAGGCGGGACCACACGGCACATGCCGGCGGCCTCTGCCTGTTCCCTCACCACATCCAAGTAAACCAGAGGGTCCAAGAACTCCCTCGGTGCAGGCCGGAAGACGGGGACTTCACCCAGTGCAGCCCAGCCCTCTGGACTGCTCCGCTGGCGCTCCCACTCCTTCTCCTGCTCGCGCTCCTTCTGCCGCGTCAACTCTTTCTCACGCTCCCAGTCCTTGTCCCTGTCGGCGAGCCGTAATGCTGCTGGTTTGAGCTGTCCAGGGGTGTTGGAGGAGGTGAGCGGAGCGGCGGAGGAGGTGGTGGAGGAGGACACAGAGGTTTGTTGGGGGTCTGAGGTAGTGCTGGCTCGACTGGGGCTGTGATTCTGGGCCGATGACGGAGAGGAAGAGGATGAGCTGCGACCGTGAGACCTGCTCTGCTGCTGCTGTGCTTGTCGGATCAACATCAGCTTGCCGGCTGATGCCCGCTTGGGTCGCTGATTCACCGGCTCCACGTTGGCTGCTGGTGTAGAGGGAGGCAGGGTTTGTTTAGGAGGGGGAGTAGGAGGTGGAAGCGGGGGTTCAGGTGGAGTTTGTTTAGGGGAGGGGGGTGTTTTTGATTCATGTCCGTTTGAAATAGGAGTAGTAGGGGTGGTGGTTTGTGAGGCAGCTTTGTCTTGATTGGCCACCTTCTTACTGCTGCTGCGTGTCTCCAGAGGCATGGGTTGAATCTTTGCCTTCTTGGCGTCATTTGATGTGGTTTTGGCTTTCTGCTCAACAACCCCCACCCCTACCGAGTTAAGCACCACCTCCAGACGCCGCTTGGAGTTGCGCAGTCCTTCTCGGCCAGGGCATTCTACATGGCCCTGCTGGCGCTGGCACTGTTTCTGAACGTCCTCCTTGACTGTCGTGTTGTGCCGCTGCCCGTTCAGTCTGCCATTAAGGCGGGCGCTGGCAGCCACATTGTGCAGCCCATTGGATAGTAGCACCTGTTTGCGGGTTTTTGCATTGCTGTGGAGGGCTGGTGCCGCTGCTTTTCCTGAGTTGGCCAGCCCGTTGCTGGCTGCTGGCTGGCTGTGCTGATTGTGATTGTTCGCTGACGACGGTGCCGAGGCGGCGCTGTTGTGTTTGTTGCTGCTGTTGCTGAGTTTGGTTTTCTTGCCCAGTTCTTTCTGTTTGGCTTTGGTGTAGGTGACGTGGCCCTTGGACACGGTGGCTGTGTACTTCTTCACAGTTTTGGACGGCAGTCGGAAGTCACGGCTCTTTTTGGCACCACTGACAGCCTGTGCCGAGCCTGCCCGCGTCAGCCCGTTCACTTTAGAGACCTGAAACAAGAGGAAAGAAATACATATATATCAGATAAGAAAAGAAAATGATCTGAACATAAATCTGCGAATCACTAAAGAAGGAAAAGACAAAAAAGGACTGATGTGAGGAGATGCTTAAAGAGATGTCCAGGTCCCTGGGGGTGAAGCTAAAGTTTCCTGTTCAATCAGATCTCTGAACGCTGCACATATTTATGTAAATGCTAAAAAAATCTATTTCTCAAAATGTTCCCACACATAGACAAAAATCTATTATCAGAAAGTACAAAGAGACACATGCAGAGGCGTGGGCGCACCCACACTCAAACACGGATGCTAGCTTTGCCATAAAACACTAGGCCGGCCAGACCAAAGCTATTTGTGGAAACCCACGCTATTCATTAGATAACGCATCGATTGTCTTGATGACTGTGCTTCAAAATTTAGGACGCTTCTGTAAACAGCGGCTCAGAAACCGTTGTCAGCACAAAGACAGAGATTTAGAAAAGGATATGTGTCGACCGAAACCAAAACCGCTACATCCAGAGATAAACAGCAGTTAAAGAAAGGGAAGGAGAAATGAGACAGGAGAGGGAGAGCAGGGATAAACCGCATGGTTTCTGCAAACAGATGGCTGGACAGTGTGAGGCTGGAGGTGGGGTCACTGGGATGTAATGCAATCCCATCCAGGCACATAAAAACAGCCTTTTATTTGCAACGGGTTTCCTTAAACACTGTAATTCAGTTCGGTGCCATGGAGAATGGCCTCCTGCGTGTGTCTGTGTGTGTGTGTGTTTGTGAGTGTGGCTGGTACAGCTGTTGGAGGAAACACAGTCACCGATTCTTGGTGCTAAATGCTTGTAAGCTTGGTCAGAACCTGCTCCGATCTAAAGCGGGATATTGAACTGTGAAGGGATCCGTCTGGGCCTCCCTGCCTTCACTCTTCATCCCTGCATCTCCTCTCGTCTTTAAATATTTCCCTGCGTGTATTTCTAAGAATATCCTCTTCCTGCCTCCTCGTTTCTCTCCCTCTTTTTATTCTCTCTCTGATCAGGGTTGCCAGTTTTGGAAAAAGTTGATGACTCTGTAGCTGTAGAGATCTAATCTAAAGTATAAATCTGAATTTTTTTCATTCTTAAATGTCTAAACAACAGGTGCCGTGTAATATAAAGTCATCACGCAGTATCTGTGTGTGTATTTCTGTCCGAACCAGCTGGAAGAAAAACCACAGAAGGAAGCAGGAAAGGAAGGAGAAAGGGATGAAGCGATGGAGTTATCAATCTCAGTCGAGGCGCCACAGGAGGGAGGTGACAGCCGGCCCATTGGCAGGTTTCCCTTTGAAGGGCTCCCGCGTCACATTTGTGTGTGTGTGTGTGTGTGTGTATGTGTGTGCGTGCATGTATTGTATTGTGTTTGTCTCAGGTGGCAGGGAGGCCGACACAAAGACCAGGCCATTAAAAGATAAGGGGGGACTGAAACCTAACCCAGCCTCCGTCAATCATTCCCCGCGACACACACACACCTCCTCACAATGGAAAAACACACGGTGACAAGGAAGAGGGAGAGGGAGGGAGGGAGGGAGGAAAGAGGGGGTGAAAAGGAGGGATGGCGAGGAGACCGAGAGAGAAAATTCAGCCCAAAAATGAGTTTTAAAAAGGACGCTTCCAAAAAAAGAACAAAACTTTAATCTTTTTTGTCACTTCTGGGAAAAAAAGTTGCAAAATATCATCTTTATTTATAGAGAAAAGTCAACCAACCTGACTCAATCCCCTACTTCTGATTTTATGTGAGGTTATTTAGGTCTACACTGATGCCGAAATAGAAACAAACTGCCAGAGCAGCAGTTGTCCAGACAGCTTCTATATTTGTCCAGCCACAGTTTGCTGACAAAGCGCTGGATCTGAACGACAGGCTGTCATGACTGCTTCTAGCCACAAGAGGGCTCAGACGACCGGTTCTCCTCAGGGGGGGGGCTTGCTTGGCAAG